TCTCTCTCTCTCTCTCTCTCTCTCTCTCTCCCCCTCCCCCCTCTCCCCTCTCCCTTTTAATTTTCCCTTTTAATTTTCCCTTTTCATCTCCTTCTTCTCCCAAGCAAGCAAAGAGTAAATAACACGCAGCCCCCATTCTCACATCCTCACCTTTACCCACATACTCCTCTCCTCCCCTCCTCTCCTCCCCCTCCTCCATCTCCTCAAACACGCACCCCCCCCTCCGCCAAAGAAAAAACCTCCAATTTCCCAAACCCTCGAAAAGAAAAGCTCAGCTCCACACCTGAAAAAAAAAAAAAAAAATAACGGGTTACTGTACTCTCGCGAATTGCTGATGCTGATGCTGATGCTGATGCTGATGCTGATGCTTGTACTGTGGCTGTGGCTGTGTAGAAGAGGAGGGGAGGATGGATGGAAGAAGGATGGATGGATGGAGGAAGAACGAGAGAGAGAGAAGGGAGGAAGGGAGGAAGGGAGGATGGAGGAAGAAGGTGTGTGTGTGTGAGAGAGAGAGAGAGAGAGTTGGGCGTGTATAAATATATACATATATATATATATGCAGGATGGAAGATTTCTTGCAAAGCTATTTGTTGCATCGCGGCTTCGTAGTGGCTGGCGATCGGCATTGTCTTCATTCATATCTGGTACATCATATCATGTTATACATCATGAATTGCCCAACCTAAAGCACACGACACGGGTTCATGAGGTGCTGGCATGTTACCATAGCGAGTGGGTGTGCTCACCATTGAGCTCTGCTGTGATCCGCTAGCGGGTTCGTTACTATGCTGTAGATGTCGGCGTTAGCAGACCGTAAGAGTTGATGAATTGATGCAGTACAAGTGGCCCTTGGCATTTCAGTCCCGCAACTAAAGCCGAGTCGAGGTATTCTCGACTTTCGCGGGTAATCCGAAAATAATGCAGATAGTGAAGCGATAGAGTAAATGTGCTATTTCGTTCGAACCTGGCTATGAAAGTGCGCCATGTGCTATACAGCAGGATGCAATATCGAAAGCACCAGAAATGAGCAAATATAGAGCAGATATAACGCGCCCAGCTCTTTCAAATCTGCCGCTCAAGTCCCGTAAATTCCTCAAAACAGCAATTGCACTAGCAAATCGTTACCGCATTAACGCCACCGATTGTTCGCCAGCCACCTGAGGGTTTCAATACAACTCGTCTCCACATGACCTGGTTTCAAGGACCATACGAGTTCACAACCATCGGGCTCATCTGACTACTTCTGTGGCGCTTCCCTGGTCGGCTCTGCGAAATTAGCGAGGCGACTCGCTTGTTTCTGCTCGGCTGGGGACTTGGAGTTCCTTGAGTAGTGCTTCCTTGTCCAGGGGTCTTTGGAGTGGACTGGCGTCTCAAGCAGCGAGAACCGCTGGGAGCTCGAGCTCTACGGATGCCTGAATTTGCCAGAGAACCTATGTTTGAGTCGTCCTGGGTCGTACCGTCACTTAGAGAAGAGGCTGTTTGTATTGAGCCTGTCAGGCCACGAATAGCGGGGAGATTGTTTGAAGAGGCTGTAGGTGTAGGGCCAGCCGATCTCAGTGCCATTCCGTAACCATGTAGGGCATCCTCGTCGGCACTAAAATGACAAGCTGTGGCCTCAGAGTCCGAAATATCGACATCTGGTTGTTGGAACTGTTCAAAATCAGCACGGAATACCACTATTTGAGCGGCCCATGTCAAAGATGCTTACGAGCAGATGGAGTCCCTTCCTTGGCTCGAAGTACTCTCGACAGATAGTGTCATAATCTCCAACGTATTTGTAGGTTGGGGGCACTTTCTTCTTCTTCCCCTTGGTCGAAATTGGCTGGATGTAGCCTTTGGATTCCAGGTTACGAAGAGTGGCGGTTGTATTTTCAGTGCCGTCTCCTAGTAGCAGTCAGCTTCGAGCAAAGCATATCCCAAGGTTTTGTCCTCACCAAGATGAATCTTGAGCTCATCCACCGTCGCTGATAGAGGCTCCCGGTCAAGAAAGAAGCCGAAAGCTCTTCTTATCAAGCATTCTTCGCTTACCTGATCCATATCTATAATGACTTGTGGGAAGCGTACTTTGATGCAATTGTAGCAGAAGTGGAACTCGGGAATGTTTTGACGATAGCCGTAACATTCGGCATGTTGAAACCTCTTGCACCCCGGGCACTCAATCTGTTCCCCGTTAGCAGTAACCCAATAGCCGAATGAGAAGATTAGGCGAGACTGTACTAAAGATCCTTTCGCGACATCCACATGGCATTCGCAACTGATGACAGTTCTTGGAGAATCATCAAGATCGTCGTCTCGCTGTGTGGACATGCCCCGTACGCAATGTTCGAGCTGTTCGTAGACATCCTGCGTGTAGAGAGGAGCGACGATTTGTCCGGTGGCAGTCTCGCCGCGGGCCAATGCGTTTCCTTGTGGTCCGGATACAAATTGAGCGAAGTATGGTTGTGTGTCCTGGGAAGAAGCAAGGGGAACCCTCGAGGAGCCCTGCGGAGTCACGTGTATCAGCATTATGTATAATCCAATAGGAAGCGATTCTGCCTACTGCTTGCTGTAGCATCGTTAGATTTTGGGATTGCGTGTAGCCTCCATCAGATTCAGAAATGACTGAGGAGGACCGATGATTAGGGCGAACGTTACGCTGAGGCGCTTGGCTGCTGTAGGCTCTGCTCGCTTCGGGCCCGGTAATTGGTGATTCCTCGATACATTGCGCGTCTTGGATATCTCTGAGGCCTGGGAGGATGAAACTATAGGCGATGCTTTTCAAGTAAGCACTAGCCACTCCCTTAGCTTACGGGGCAGTTCAGCTTACGTGTGAAAACCCGTGTTCATTGTCAAAAGATCAGTACTACTCTTGCTCATATCGAGAAGTTTCTTTGTACCATAGTCGCCTGGATGAAAGGCCTCGGGCTCATAATCTTCGGGCGTATCATCAGTATAGTCCAGCTGCATACTGACACGAGAGCCAGCTTTCAAAGAAACACGTCAGTATCGTGGATCTCATGGTTGACTTGGCTTGGTTACCTGGTAGGGCAGGGCTCTTTTTATTAGCGACGAGATAGTCCTTGACTCCGTCGATCATGTATTTGAGCTGGTTCTTCCCATCCAGGACGTGAACTTGGGCAGGCTCAGAACCTTGGCTGTTCCTAATCTCGGTGCTGAGGTAGGCACCGTCGCTTCCGTATGTCACAGTCATGGCGCACAACTCGAGAGCATTCTCGTTGGATATCGCATCGATACCAGGGCTATGAAAAGACAATTGGACTTTGCGTAGATGCTTTTTCGCCAGAGCGTCACTGACACCGATCTCCTGAGTTGTGCTGTTAATCGCACGTGGTGGTACAAGAGAGATGAAGGACATACAAGACGAGACAATAGCTTGTCCACTTGCAAGTCTTCGCCAGGCACCGGAACCATCCAGAAGAAACCGTTGGGCGTGTTCTTGTCGTTGGAACCTGCTAGAAAAGCATCGTATGAAGTATCCGGGTCCGTTGGGTCGAAGGTTCGTTTCACCCATTTAGCGCTACGGAAAGCCTGACTGTAGCGCAAGTCAGTTGAGGAGAGGACTCAAGGATGGGAATATATGTGGCACCGAAAGTGGATGACTTGGAATATCTACAACATGCAGTGAGCACTCAGAGTCAGATTCAGGTGGCAGACGAGACGAGACGAGCAGCTGCAGAGAGGGGGGCGTGCACTTACAGTCGCAGCGATGGCGGTCCTCATCAGGTCGAAGCTGTGCTGTGGCTTCAACGAAATCTCGGAAGCATGCTTGGACTTGGATTGTGGTCGAGGCTTGGGCTTCGGCTTCGATTTCGACTTTTGCGAAATCTTCTTGGCGATGTTCTTGCCGCGTGCCGAAGCCGATGCCGATGCTGATGCCGATGCGGACGGCATTGTGATGGATGTCCGCTGGTTCTCGCGTTGAGGAATTTCCTGTTGTGCGTGCGGTGACTGCGGTCTACGATCCGCGTCGAGGAAGAGAGAGAAAAGACGGTTTTGATTGTGGTGCGGGCGATACCTGTCACCAAGCTGGCACTCTGTGACCCTTTTCTTGCTGTACCAATGCGATGGGACGAAGGTTATTGGGTTATGGAGATGTGGTTATGAGGGAGGAAGAAGGTGGGAGGTTGAGATTTGAGGGTTGAGGAGGGAAGGGAAGGAAGAAAAGAAGAGAAGGAAGAAAAGAAGAGAAGGAAGAGAAGCGAAGTAAGAAAGTAGCCGGGCCTCAGGTCATGTGCATCCGTCCTACTTGGCATGAGCGCGGGCACGGACGGGTATCATTTGGGAAGGAACGACTGTTAAACGGTAAAGCGGGCTCGACCGTTGACCACGTGACTATGTACTTCACGTGGCCATCGTAGATAGAGAGAGGTAAGGATTTATCCTGAAAAGATGGATATATGTGAGACTGGTGCATGTATATAAACAGATATTCGACCGCTTGCGAGGTTTGGAGACGGTACACCGATCTGAACAGACAAAGTACCGTATCATGATAGGTATCCAGTACATGTTCTGCGAAGTATCCCGACCCCTTTTTCGGCCCGTTCCAGGGGACCAAGCGAGGGATAACAAAGAAACAAAAGCTGGAGATTTATCAGAGTAAACAAATAAAGTCGAGGGGGCCTTATGTCTAAACCACCAACTTTGAGAGACGGATGTAGCAACGTATGTGGCCACGATAAAGTTCGGTGTTCGTGACAGGCAAGAAGGCAAGAAGGCAAGAAGAAGTTACAATAGAGCGGGAAGGGGTTGGCGGGGGGTGGGGGGAGGCTCGGCAGAAATGGGCGGTGGAGTAGCAAAGGTGAGGGTGAAGGCGGTGGTCATGTCAACTCGGGGTCAGCAACTGGCATTATCCACAACGTCGCTTCTCTCTTCTCCGCCTCCGGCCCCGATCCCCGAGCACAACGTCTCTCTACCTACCACTCCACTCCCCTTCTCTATTCTTTATTCTCGACGCTCGATACCCTCTCTCGAAAAACCTCTCATTCACGACTTTCTGACGCTCGATCTATCCTGGGTGGACTTGATTTGCTTCGACTCCGACATCCCGCTCTGTTCCACCAACTACCCCCTCGACGATAACCCTCCCGGCCACCCTCCTCAGACCCGTAAAAGACCAGCGAAGATCGGCTATGCCGTTACTGGTGCTTTTCTAGGATACCGGTGGTAGTGTACAGCTGGTAGCTTCCTACGCGTCGCGAGTTTGTTGTCGACGCGTTCGCTTCATCAGGGGAGGGGCTAGACTCCAACCACCTTTTAACAGAAGCCCGACGACAATAACAACAAACACGTTCAATACAACAACACTTCACCTCACCTATCATGGACCCTCCCATTCGCCCTGTCGCAAAGCGGCGGGCAGTATCTGCTCAACAACCCATCACCGCCCCTTCACATTTCATATCAGAAGGCTCTCCGAGTCCTTTTGCATCGAATCCCAAGTACCTGCAGGGTGTTGCAAAATCTCAATCTCCCCCGGCATTACGATCTCGTAACCGCACAGTCTCGGTGGGATGGGTAGAAGGCGGTGAGGCAGTCTCTCGACGCACCTCAAGTTTGCAAGTCGAGCTGGCAGAATGCGTGGAGACCAAAACAGTCACGACGACGACGACCACCAAGCGCTCATACCCACCTCTCCTGGTTCGTCAACGATCGCTTGGCCAGCTCAACGCAAAGGAATACCCACTGGCTATGAAGCCTCCTCCCGCTGAGTTGTTGAACTTCTCGTACGAAATCGGCGGAGATTCATATCTGGGTGAAGACGATATTGCCATCGAGGTCAGTATTCCACGTCATCCTACCTGGTCCCTGTGACCACCGTTAACTTCTTTGTATAGGATCTCCTGGCACCCAGCCGCACGCCATCATGTATGAGTGATCAAAGTAAAATCCAGGCTTCAAGAGGCTTGAAGGCCACCCCTACCGAGAAAGGAGAGACCCAGCGGGCAGATCGACTGAGCCAGAAGCTGGCGATGGTCAACCAAAGAAGATCCACCAGCCGCCTCCAAGAAACGCAGCCCGACTCCCCCACGTCCATGACCGAACGACCACACAAGTCCAAGAGGAATATCGTGAAGCAGGGCCAGGATCACAATTCGATCAGGGTGGCGCGACGGAGACCCCATCAAGGATTGGGTGTACATTTAATGGATGAGCCTTTGCTTCCCGCAACCCCTGACATGTCCGATCTTGATATTGCCACCGATCGCGCTCAACCATACACTGCTCCCTTCTTCGAGGAGAGTACGTACACTCCGCATTCTGCAACGACCCTAAATGATTCCTTCGAGGACGTTGAAAGCCCAGTCGATGCAGTGAGCCAGGACTTTGCTAATGCCGTTGCAACACCTCCTACCGCTGAATCAGACTTGGAGCTCGTGAGCGGAAGCAGTACGACCTCGGCACAACAACGGCCGACTTTAAATACGGCTGCTGCCCAAAACGCCAGTTTACCAAGTCCAGGTCTCTCGCCAACATTCGCTTCTGCAACACTTAATCCCAATCAGTCTTCAGGAGCCATTACCGCTGGAGACGAGCTCCTTGGCAGCCCTGCAACCCAGGATGATGATAGTCAACAAGCCATCGACGATGAGACGTTGGCCTACGAATCTCAAGCAATGTCCCTTTGCAGATCTGAGGAGCCATCACTCATCCGCGACACACATAGTCCTTCTGTTATGGATGCTCAATCAATGCTACTCAGTTTTGATGCCATGCCAGTGAAGATGCAAACTTTAATGATGTATCAGCTACTTCGGCGATGTTCGAGAAAGACTTTGCATGTCGTGGCTCACGTTGTCAACCCTGCTTTGAAGTGCGATTTTTTGGATCAGCTTCCATTGGAATTGAGCCTCCACGTCCTCAGTTTCATGAATCACCGAGACCTTTGCCGAGCCTCACAAGTCTCAAAGCGATGGAGAGATATCGTCGACACGAATGAGACTGGCTGGAAGGAACTATTTGATCACGATGGCTTCGTTATGCCTGCTGGTGAACTCGACAAAGCCATTCAGCAAGGCTGGGGCTGGCAAGACCCTGTCGGCCCAGATGGATGCGAGCAAGACTTGAGCCCTGATCGAGTAGCATCGTCCTCAGGAGCTGATAATGCGACCAGCAGTATCAGCAAACCCGACCCCATTCCAGTTCGCAAGGGCCGCTCTGTTACCAAGAGAAAGCGAGTCGGAGTGGGCTCAAATACAGACCGTTCAAAGCGGCGAGCGGTTGGCCACGAGTTTGCAGACAAGGCAAATGGCATGCTAGCTAGATATCCCCACACAGCCAGATTTCATAAGTCTCAAGGTCCCATCACTGCTGCCAATGCTGCTGTTTTAGCTGTTCCAGACCCCAAGTTAAGCCTGCCAACTTTACGAAAGTTGCATCTATTTAAGTCGCTCTATCGTCGTCATTACATGCTTCAGCACGCCTGGACGGATGGCAAAGTCGCCCCTCATCACTTTGCGTTCCCCGCACACCCGGCTAATGTCATTACATGTCTACAGTTCGATGACGACAAGATCTTGACGGGTTCTGATGATAATATGATACATGTTTACGATACGAAGACGGGTGTCCTCCGCAAGAAGCTTACTGGTCATGATGGAGGGGTTTGGGCTCTACAGTACGAAGGCAATGTTCTGGTTTCGGGCTCGACTGATCGCTCCGTTCGTGTCTGGGATATCGAGAAGGGACTCTGCACTCAAGTCTTCCATGGACACACTTCCACCGTGAGATGCCTCCAGATTCTCATGCCTGAGTTGGTTGGAAAGGCAGTGGATGGTAAGCCAATCATGGTTCCTTCACAGCCACTCATCATCACCGGCTCGAGGGACTCTCAACTCCGAGTTTGGAAATTACCCGAGGCTGGTTCCAAGCGCTACATTCAAAATGGACCACCAGCAAACGACACAGACTGCCCGTATTTCGTTCGCACCTTAACGGGTCATTCTCATTCTGTCCGTGCCATTGCTGCTCATCAAGATACCCTTGTCAGTGGCAGCTACGACAACAGTGTACGGGTCTGGAAGATCTCTACCGGAGAGACAATCCATGTTCTGCGAGGCCATGCTATGAAGGTCTATAGCGTCGTCTTGGACCATAAGAGAAACCGGTGCATCAGTGGTTCAATGGACAACTTCGTCAAGATCTGGTCCCTGGAAACTGGTGTTTGTCTGTACACTCTCGAGGGTCACTCATCGCTTGTTGGCCTGCTAGATCTCCGGGATGAACGTCTCGTCTCCGCCGCTGCAGACTCTACGCTGCGGATCTGGGACCCAGAGAACGGCAAGTGCAAAAGCACCCTCAGTGCCCACACTGGTGCTATTACCTGCTTCCAACACGATGGTCAAAAGGTCATATCCGGATCTGACCGAACTTTGAAGCTGTGGGATATCAAGACAGGTGAATGCATCAAGGATATCCTCACTGATCTCAGTGGAGTCTGGCAAGTCAAGTTCGACCAGCGCAGATGTGTTGCCGCTGTACAGCGTGACAATCTTACATATGTTGAGGTAGGCATACTACATATTCTTGTATATTACCCTACTAACTTACTTTCCCAGGTCCTCGATTTCGGTGCCTCGCGAGACGGGATCCCTGCATCTCAACGCGGATCACGCCGACTCCTTCCTGATACCGAAGACCGTATCATCATCGAAGATGACGACGCATGAACCGTGGCAGAGACGTCTAATGTTGACAAACAAAGATACCCAAGGGAAAGGCCCACAAGGAACTTCCTGCGTCCGCAAGACGATCATATTTCATTATTTTGTAATCGACACGCCACGGCGTCTCTGGAGGGCGTGAGCATTTTATTTGCACTGATCACACATGCATAGCGAGGATAATCTTCAAGGGTGACGGGTCCCCCTGTTATTGACTGTATTTGTTTTTACTGGTATTGGTGTTGGCGTCGGGAGGCACAACTAAACTTCAACCCGGGATGGGGTGGATTACTGCATTGGTGGGCCGGCCGATGCATCCGGATATGGGTATTTGCAGAAGTGCGAAGGCTAGGAATTTTTGGTAGATTCATATCTACTATACAAATTTATTAGCGCTCATCTGCATTTTCATTTTCATTTGGTTCAATTCCTCACTTGGTGCGCAGCTGACGCGAGTTTATGTTTGCATTGGGCTAACGCCAATAAGGCAAGTCGACTACTGACTACTCTCAATCGCAGGAAGCACGGTGAGAAGGAATGCACATTTAGATGTGATGTGCAACAAAAACAGCGTGGATAATGAGCCCTGAACGCGAGACCTGTCTATGCCTACTAAAACAAACCCTCTATATCTGAGGCTACCTATCAATAAGAAAGGGATATGCAAGCAAACTGTACGTACCCCTCTCCTCGAGCGTCTCGCTCCGCCAAAGCCAAAGTCACCGCCTTCCCCCTTCCGCCGCCAGCCTTTTTTTCTTTCTCCTGTCTCGGTTCTGCTTCTACGAAGTTTTCTCCGCTATTCCTGTCCATATCCATATCCTCCATATCCATATCCTCCATATCCATATCCTCCATACCCCTTGCCATCCCATAACAATCCATCCATACAGATCCCCTTTTCACAACCTCACAATGCCTTGTGACACGAGATATCTTCGGGCTGGCTTGACATAATTTTGTTTATATATTTATTTCTACTTGGAAGAGTTCCGTCTAGATTGCCACTAGACTTGACACCTGTATGGTACCTGGCAATGAGAGAATCGTGTGTTTCGAGAAAGGGAGATTTACTTATAGATAGATAGATAAGAGCGCTCGACTTACCGATCTACCGACAAGATAACCGGGATATCTCGATCTGTGCTTTCAAGTGAAAAGCAGATATATAGCAGACTTATTCATGCTCGCTAACCCTCGAAGCAGGTGTCCGAACCTTGGCATCCGCTACTAAGCGAGACGAGAAAAGTAAACATTGACAAATTTGGGGTATCGCTAATCCAGGCAGAATCTAGACTGGAATCGCTAAGCCAAGGTATCGTACAGCACAAAAAACGCACGTTCTTACAGGAACAGATAGCCCGCATTACACGGTACGCCCCTCTCTACCGCTCCGAACGCCCGCACGACATGATGAAGCCCTTGTACCAGAGTGCCGCCCCTCGATCGCCGGACCTAGAGGAATGGGAATTTCTTCTCTCATTTTACGGCGGGTTTCTTCACCGGCAAATTGATCTATGCCTCCTCGCCTTGCTTGGGAGCGGCATCGCGGTAGGCGGCTGCTTTCGGGCCGTGGACTTCGTTGTGACGCAGGGATCTGTGCATTATATACGTGCTGGCTATCATCAGTCTCTTTTTTCACAAATGAAGGAATCAGAGTCAGGAAGGAGGGATAGGACGAGGGTGTATGCATACCTAGCAAACGACGCAACAACACCGGGCCACAGCAAACATACGGAGGCGACGTTGTACGCGTTCTTTCTGTAAATTCGATTCGGGGGTCCGTTGACTCGGACGTAGAGCTCTGCCGCCACTGGTGACACACCTGAGATGTGCGCTTTGTGCGTTGCGATGATAAGCTGGGGTACATCCATTAGCTCTTGTCCCATAGTCTAAATGCAAAATTGCGGAGCGCGATGAGGATGAGGCATACAGTCATAGCCAACGCATCCGCCAACGCCATTAAAGACACTACCACTGAGCACACCTTCCACGCCATCTTCACAGCCCGGGATTCCTGCCTCTCAGGCCAGAACAGATCGAAGAAGAAACCGGACCCGAAAATCGTGGCGACTGCGATGCCGACGAAGATGTTGTAGGAGAAAATGCCAACAATGTCACTGTTGTGAACCATTGCGCGGCCCGCGCTGAGGCGAGAGATTGCGTCTTGCTGGTCCACGTAGTCTGCACAATAGAATACGATCAGTATCCCAAAATCTTTTAGATCCTCTGTACGGTGTTGAAGAAAAAGGAAAGAGTTAGGAGAAGAGGCGAGGAGGAAGGAGGAAATACCAGTTAGCGCAGCAGTGCCAACGCTCTCGGAGCACACGCAGAGAATCATGGCAATCTGATAGACGATCATCTTTGTGCAGCGGAGGTGGTACACCTGGTTGAACATGTAGGAGCCCTTGAACTTCCCCCACTGCATCTCGTGCAGGTCGAGGCCCCAGATAACTGCCATACTGACTGCTGCTTGCTGCTTGCGGTCAAATCTCGATATTGATTTCCCCAGCGCTTTTTACCGTACGCTAATCACCAGAATAACCAAAACCCTATAGACACTTGACCAATGATGATACTTAGTCGTGCCAAATCAAATATCGCGGTACTGGTAACAGAGACAGAGGCCAGAATCAATCAATTAATGGGTGAACTAGTAAGAGAAAGAGTCAGCAGAGAGAATGAGCTGTAAAGAGTAGAATAATACGGGATGCGAACACGGGTACGGATCGACATGATAACGGATTAAAAGTTTAGCTCCACACATGAGAGGGAAGGCACACTGCTATCTGATGTAGCCCCAAGTTCGAGGTCCTGGAGGTGCAAACGGGGAAGGAGAGTATCATAGCAAGTTGACGTCTGGAGTAGATCCCTACTGTACTGGTAGGTATCTGCCGCATTGGCCATAGAGAAAGCTCGCTTATCAATACTTCGTGGTGGGAACAACAAACAAGTTTTTTTTTTCCGTAGCTTTGTTAAGGGGTCTCGCTCTTGGGGGTTTGAATAGTATTTCTATGAATTCGCATTCAGTCACCGCCATAGTTGAGTACCTAGATAGGCCATAAGGTATCGAATGCCATAAGAGGGATCGAAGAGAGCACGATGACCTTGTGTTAGCCGGATCTGGTCTTACGGCTGAGATTTAATTTAAAGATAGATACAAAATCTGATCAACTTTGATGACAGGCAGGACAAGGCGAGAATTGATTTGCTTGGAGATCTTGTTCTTTTGGTTCGAAGCCACAAGTCGTTTTCAAATAGTACAGTAACGTTATGCGGATATATAGGTACAGAGAGTACCACCACATTCACCACATCACAATTCATGTGTAAGCCCGGCCTCTATTTATGGTGAAGAGGGATTGAAGTCCTCTGCTGACTGGGAGCTTCTATTGTCGTGCCATATTGCTATGACTTCAACATCGAATACGCTCTTCAGAATGCCGAACAACAATACTAAAGACTGGACAGACTGGACAGACTGGACAGACGGCCTCTGCAGCTACGATACTCAAGCCCTGTCGGACAGGGATGCGAAATCAACCAAATTTGGTAGGATTGAGGTATATAATCGGTAACAGGTTGATGTGTACTCCGATGGCGACATGAGCAAAGTCTATTGGAACCTCCGTTACATGGCGCTCCATTCAGATGTACTCATTCGGCTTTTTGCATCTGCTTTCCCCTCATAACTTTCCTCCTTTGCGCCATCATATGCGTGAACAAAACGTACGATCCTACAATGCGTTAGCAACCCCTAGTCCTTGAGGCTCCATCCCAAAAACCTACCAGGGATATAAATAAGGAGAATTAATTGCAGCGCCCATGCAAACTCCTGTCTCTTCTCCGCCGCCGGCTTGATCGCGCTCCAGATCAACCAACACTCGCTACTAATGCCCAGCGGATACAGCACATAGAACGTATTATACCTCAACCACGAGATGATGCCTGGCGAATAACCGCTAAGCGTGAACACGAAGTACGAATAGCGGACAACCTCGGTGACGGACCAGGCGATGAGCATCGACGAGTAGCCAGCGCTGCGGGCGAGGAGGGGGAATTGATCGACAACTCCCCATACGAGAAGGAGACGGCTGGCGACTTGCATAGCAGTGGTGCTGATGGGGGCTCGTACTATGCCTGCTCTCATGTATCAGCACCTCTTGCGATCAACAACTGGATTTTATTTGGGGAAATGGAAAATGGGACAAGGAAGGGTTTACCAGTCGCAGCATGCACCACCTCCAACAGCGCCAGCGTCTGGGTCCATTTACAGAACCTTCCTACACCCGGATAAACATTTCCAAACCCGACGAGAGGTACAAGCAGCACGACGCGCCCGAGAATGGTGAACCAGAGGACGGCGCTGACGAAGTTGTAGAGGATGAGATATTGCCTTTTGGGGGAGCTGGATTGAAGGGGTTTGGGGCCTGGTTTGCGCGACGGCTCTAATTCAGGTTGAGGTGCCATTTAGAGCACAATTGAGGTATTGTTGCTCGTGTTGTTGACGACTCCGCGGAGAGCGAAGGCTGGAATTGGGGCAGATGCAATGAGATTGAGATGTGTTGAGAGTCAACAAGCTGTGAATCTTGGCCTCTCAGCGGCCGCGCCAAGACCGAGGCCTGTTCTCGTTTAGCTGGACGGACAGCTGGACTTCTTCGACCTCTTCAACCTCTTCAATCTACAACAATGTTCTAACCATTACTTATTAGGTATCTCCAAAGTCTAGGAAGCGCATGCCTCCAGTCCAGATTTTAGTTGGGACGAGCCCTTACTTGGGAGAACATCTCGAGTTGTCGCTCGTGTTGGCGATCTGGAAGAAAACATTGGAATTGGAGGAGATGGCAAAGTAGTTGGTCCACGACGGTGAGGCTCCTTACTCGGAGCATAAGTTGCTATGGAGTCTTCTCACTCTTCGACATGATGACCATCCTAGTATTCGCCTACATCGCCGACTTCCTACAGTAGAACCGGGGAATTTGCAAACTGTCAATAGCCTGCTCCACCCCAGTAGATTTTTATTACCCTCTCAATGTCAAGACGCAGCCACTATTCGCGTACCCGGGCAGGGGCTTCTGAGCCTAGATTGCATACTTACAGCCTTTGACGACCTCGTAGAGCAGTTGTAATTAAGTTCTATTACGTAACGAGCCACTCCCTTCCAATTACTACGTACTATATTACAGGGCCAAAGGATGTTTCAAACATCATTTATCCATGGAACGAAAGTTTCAGGGCTCGGTGATCCAATCTGTCCATCAATCTCCCAACTCTGCCAATCAACAATTTCGTTCGAATAGTCTTGTAGCTCTCCCTTTGTTTCAAAGCATTTAGACCATAAACCCAACACGTTCTTGTTTACCACATAAGATGGGATAAGCATCTGCATGTCCCATTGCCATTGTGAGATATATGAAAAGCGAAGCGCTTTCTCGGGGGGTGATATAGTTAACCCCACGTAATCCGTGATAACTTTTTCGCCCTTGTGCCATAATTGTATATCTCGACCCTTACCATTCGGAGCCTTTTTTTGGTAATATTCAGGGATATATATCTTAGGCGCCATCTCAAGCTTATTCTTATCCGCCTCGATAACACAATACCAATTATTTATCTTTAGATTACCCGGCCAGTAACCAGGTTCTTGTGCTATTTGGATTGTTAGCTTGGCGTGACGATAAGTGAAGATTTATAAGTAAAAATTAACTTACTCAAGTGAAGGCCGTTTCCTAATTGATTTTTCTTTTCGCGAGCATCATCGACCCATTGACTTCTATATGGTATGTTGAACTTGTTGATGAGTTCGGCTTCCGCCTATAATTCGCGGTAATTAGTATAAATCTTATATTATATAATTCAAGTGAAACTTACAGTGTTGACTGTTCGATAGCCGATGACTATTCTTTCTAAGAATCCATCTTCTTCTTGGACGATTCCTTGAGCGCTATCAAAGAGAAAGCACAAGGCTAGCAAGGTGGCGGAAAAATATTTCGATAGCATCGTATTTTGAAATTATCAGAAATGGTACTAAAGGATTATGAGAGCTGAAGAAGCGGAACAAGCTTGCAAAAGAAGAGGATGAGGAGAGGATTGCGAATTTACTCCCAAGGAAAGGATTATATATCTACCTCTCTTGAAAAGATTCTATACAATTTTCTATTCATTTTACTAATATTACAACTAGTAAGTATATATATCTTTCTGGTGTCGTTTTGAGGATTATCTCAAATAAACGTCGGTTACCTTGAGATTTAATTTATAAAAATTCCCGACCTGGCGCAGCCAGGTCGACACCACCAAGGCGGGACAGTAACGGTATACCACTTATTAAACAACAACTATTAATACAAAAAAGAAAAAAATTTATATTTATATGCTCAGAAAATTTTGCTGTGCTAACTTAAATTAAAATTATAAAGATGCATTTATTTGTGGTAATCAAATACATTGAAATATAATGAAAAAACGGTCAAAAACTGTTTTAAATATTTAAATTTATTTGTTTATTGCAAATATCTTAACAACTACAACCTTAATTCAAAAAACGTTACATAGATCGAAAATAAATTATTTAATATATCATATTATTAAAGGTATTAATTATTAAATCAAAGTTGGTAGTGATGCACATATCTTTTTAATAGAGTTAAATAAAAGTCCGATTTTCGTGTTCCTCGCTTATTCTAGTATATACCCAGCAATTCTGATATATACGCATTACTAAAATCGAAAAGTATACATTAAAAGTATTATTTTTGATACTTTAACTCAACACAATAAAGGAATAACAACTTGTAATTAAAATTCAACTAATTGATTAATATCAAACTGAATACGGCGCATCTTTTTATACTAAAATAATTATTATATAAGACTTGATTGATTTTTTATTCATTAAAAAAGAGCAAATTTTACTGTCCCGCCTTAGTGGTGACGACTTGCTACAGCAAGTCGGTCAATTCTTTTGAATTAAAATCTAAGGAAACCGACGATTACCTACGAAGTCGTTACGTACTTTTCTTTGTAAACTCGACTTGTATTTAGGAGGGTTTTCGACATGTGGACAGACAGGTATAAGCCGCTTCTCCTCATCACCCCGAACTACCCCATGCTATTGGACACAAGCCAAAAATGTAGCCCGCACCGGAATACCGCATGTCCGTAAACTTGAAATAGTAGCGCGCGGGGTGGCTAATAACGTCTAATCTGTCTCTCAACTAATCAGTGATTGACTGCGCAAAGGTACGCGGATGCTATAATAACCACAGTACAGCCATAATAATTACCGCCTGAGGGTGTCTCAAAAGTTCAAATCTCCACTTCAATCACCGCGGTTTTCTAACCCTCAGGCGGTAACTATTACGCCTGAGAGGTAGTTGTTGTAATATATCTTCACCAATGAAAAGTCACGGGAGGCAGTGCGATCTTATGGAGTCAACAGCACCGCGCGCCACTTTGGAGAGTTAATATGGTATTCATCTGCTTGGTACTCTTCTTCGTCGGCCTAGAACTGATCATCCACTTCGTCGAGTGTTGACACGCCGCATTCAAAGAGTGGTCCAGCAGCAGCAGCAGAAAAACCCGCATCGCAGAGGCTAGGGGGCATTCTGAAAATGTCTCGTGTGTTTTCCATTTTCCCCGAGTGTCTAGCCACGAAGTTTATTAAGATTCATTCAATGCATCTTGCTTTGAGAAGATCATACTACCAGGCCTATACCCGTCGCGTATAAGGCTGCTTTCCGAGGCTTTGAATATTAACGCTATATTACTTTAATATAGCTACGAAACAAACCTTACAATTATATAAAAAAGATGTAAATAATCTTGACCTTCAGCTCGGCCGCAAGCTAAGACTTACGGCCCTTTGCAACCTAAACGTCGGCTACCTTAAATATAATTCGAGAGAAGTTGATCCGATTTGCAGGGATCCGACTTACCCTGCAAGTCGGCACCAGGGACCCGGGACCCGGGACCCCTACTTTCGCTCTTATATAATCAATATAAAACTAACTACCTCCCGACTATATCGAAATTATTCTTGTATGGAAAGATGCACAGTACTGAGTTTTACCCCCCAAAAAATTAACACAATTCTAATTCAATATTATTATTCCCTTCATTGCGCCGTGTTAAAGTAGTAAAAATGGTACTTTGGGTGTACTTTTTCATACGTAAGTAGTATAGGTCCCTGCACTGACTAAGTGTGGCGTGTACAAATTCCCAACTTCGTCAAAATCTCGCGAGTACGTCGATACAATAACCAACCACCCTTAATCACTTCCACCACGCCAAATCACTTTCCGTTCTCAAGAAATCGCCGCCATGTCTAAGAAATCACGCAATTCGAGCTCGGCAAAACGTAGTCGGCAGCCCAGGCGAATTGGTTACGATAATCACTGATTTTGCTACTAAATTTAGTAGTGTTTTGCCATGCGTATATGTCAGGATTGCGATGTAAATACTGGAATAAGCGAGGAACATGAAAATCCGACTTCTACCAAAACCCATTTTTGGTACACGTGCATCATTATCAACTTCCATTTAGTAAATATTTCCTCTTGTGTTGTAATATATCAGATGCTCCTATCGATCAATGTTACAGTATTTTTTTAAAGATCGGATTTGTGGTTGTTGAGATATTCGAAGCGGACAAGTAAAATTTAAGTATTAAAGATAGTATTTAGCCATATTTTCACTACCTTTTAATGTATCGACCCGCATTAAATCAATTCATCTTTATATATATACTATACGTCTGTAAAATATTGTTCTCTAAGTATATGTACTTATTCTCTTAGTTTATATAAATAGCTATTGTTTAATAAGTATTGTCCCGTTACTATCCCGCCTTAGTGGTTCCGACTTGCTACAGAAAGGCGGCCACTTTCTTCGAATTAAATTTATGGTAACCGACGACTAGTATCTATAAAACACTCAATACAAGATACCTTAAAGGGTGGTAGGGGGTCATTTAAATGGTCCTCTGATCCTCTTTTAAAAGAAACGGTTATTAGACCGTTTAAAATCAGCACTAGTTACAAATCAAGAATAATTCGCCTTTTTGATCGTCCCCGAGCTTAGGACCCTCTTATGGCCGTCCCATAGCTATTCTCGTTTATATTTTTAAAACAGGCTTATTAATAAGCTCGTTTAAAAAAATTAAAAAAATTCGATAATTGTTTAAAAAAAAATAGTTGTAGATAAAATCATTTCTTAAATGGAATCATTATAATAATAATTTAATAAATTCGATGCCAAAATATTTCTCGGTATCGCTGCCACGGCTTATATATCAACGCTTTAATTTTTTTACAATCGGAATCGATCGATTTAGCAAAAGTATACCCGCGTGCACTACGCGCGCGCTATTCTCGCTAATTGAAGCGGGTGGTATGGGAAGGGGGTGGTGTAGTAGGTAGAAGGTAGACTAGCAAGTAACAAAATAGAAAAAAAAGATTATTTGCTTATTAGTTCACGTTCTCCGGGACGGTTTTGAGTTCGGGGACGGCCTTAAGACGGCCATAAGACGGTCTTAAAACGCTCGAAAGCGGTCTTAAGACTGTTTTTATACGAAAAGAGGAGCATTTAAAAAAGACGATTTAATCGAATAAAATAGTTCCATTCTAGCTACCATTTAAATAATTTAAATCGTTTGTTTTCAAATTCTATTCAATCTTAAGTATCGGCCTAGGGTGATGCACCAGCTATGCCCACTTATTAAAATGGTCGATTATTTCCTATGCCTCGAAGAAAGTGGAGTTGTTTTTCCTATGCCTCAACCCACTTTTTGAGTGGGCCGCCCAGCCAAATCTACCTGCTGCTCTATGCAAGAATATTTTCTATGTCGATACGTTTCCCTTATTATACCGATACCGTAGCTTCCTTAGTTCGAAGGATATAGTTGCAACGAGCGCGCTATTTGTATGTATCGTCAAAGTAGCATACCGATACGTATCTCATATAAGTCTTCTCGCTATTCGGACACTTAGCTTTCTATCGCTCGTAAATAACCTAATTAAGTGTTACGTCTTTAAAAGCTTTCAGATTATGAAATACATCGCCTTGTTAAATTGAAACAGGTTTCTCTTAAAAAGTTTTAAGAAATAGATTTGTATTTATATCAAAATCGAGTATATCGAAGCCGAGGTCGTTGAATATAGCGTCTAAAGATTCTAATAAAGCATCCAAAGTAGCGTCGGTAATAAAGATTTCCGCTATTAGATATACTGCGTCGCAGGCGTAAGTATTACCCCTCGAGGGTAGGGAAAACAGGGGGCTTAAAGTTGAAACTAAACTTTTAAGGCACCCTCGAGGGGTAATACTTAGGCCTGTACCGTGGTAGCTAAACAAATCGCGATAATAATACTAAAATTGCAATTGTATAGAATTCTAGTAGAAGCGGCATTACTGAAAAATGTTCTTGTATAAAGCAGCGAGTAGATTTGGCTGGGCGGCCCACTCAAAAAGTAGGTTGAAGCAGAGGAAAAACAACTCCACTTTCTTCGAGGCATAGGAAATAATCGACCTATCAAAATCGTCCCTAAAAGGGATGGTTATCAGACGATCAGCTGACCGTCTAAATGCTCTTGCATTCCCCTTCAAGGTAATTACAGCAATGAAATGATGACTATTACCTCCATCCTCTAAATATACTACTTACCACGCAGGGAAAGCCCCCCCGTCGCCCCTCAGGTCACTCCCAGCCGAGTAAACAAACTTTCCATCCTCCATTACACTCCTGATAAGCTGGCCCCTCCCAAACAGACTCCGCTGAGCCCCCTTCACAATCTGCGCATTATGGCCCATCCTCTTCAGCTCCTCCTCTACCCCCTCTCCAATCCCATCCTCCAAATAGATGATCTGATCCATCACCTCTCCCTCGTCCGGCATCCCTGCCCCAATGCAAATCCTCGGCGCATCGAGCGCAGTCTGTGCATTCTGCTTAAACGCCAGCATATTCAACAGGACTTGCACGTGACCTTGCGGTTGCATAAAACCCCCCATCACCCCATACACCGAGTTTAGACTCCCATCTGCCGTATTTGTAACCATAGCTGGAATGATAGTATGGTACGGCCGTTTCCTCGGGGCCAGTACGTTCGGATGCTCTTGATCGAGACTGAAATTCGCGCCTCGGTTTTGCAGAGTGAAGCCACAGCCCTGGGGAATCGCAGCCATTCCAAAGCCACCATAATTTGAATTGATGAACGATACGGCGTTGCCGTCGCGGTCGCTAACTGCGAAGTACACAGTGTCCGAGTGGTTGAAGGCTGGACTACCGTGATGCTGAATATGTGATGCTTTGTTGGGTTCGAAAAGCTTCGCTCTTTCAGCTAGGTAATCTTTCGAAAGTAGGCCGTTGACAGGGACCCTGACTTCATTCGGATCCGTGACCCACCAGACGGCGTCCGCAAAGGCAATATGCAAAGACTCTACGATGGCGTGGATGTATGCCGCTGAGTTGTGGCCCATTTCCTCAAATTTGGGTATCGTCCCGTTGTTCTCCAGCTCCTCCAGGATTCCGAGAGCGATGAGAGCGACAATACCCTGTCCGTTCGGCGGGTGCTCCCAGACTTCGACTTCATCTCTGAAAGTCAGAGAGATGGGATCAACGCGCTCGGTACCGAGGGCCATGTGATGAACCAGGTCATCATGCTCGATATGTCCACCGAGATCTTGAACTACCTTTACAATCTCATGCGCGATTCTACCAGTGTAGAATCCTTTCTTTCCTTCTTTACCTAGAGTACGGAAGGTTTCTGCCAGATTGGGATTGTGCATCAGTTCTCCGGCTCTGGGGGCACGAAAGCCGTCACTTGTAGTAGGGTCTTTCTTGAGCATTTCCGAAAAGTTGGAGGATGCTTCTCTGAGCTTTGTTTCCCCCGATGCCCACTAGAAGCAACAATCAGCGTCCTCACTTCTCATCTTGTGGTGACCATTCGGTAGTCTACCTACGAAGCTTGCTGTGAGCTCGGAGACTGGAAAGCCTTTCTCGCCCAACTCGGCCGCGGGAGACAGGATATCTTCGAGGGTTACTCTTCCAGAACCGAAGATATCCACAGTGTCAGCCCTATTCCGAAAGTCACTTTCTGATCCCAACAGCATTCGGAGAGGAATAATTTTCTTGCTGATCTGCGCTGCGATGCATTTCAAACTCACCACCCAGCAGCAGCACCAGGGACCGTAACACTATGCACGCTCGTCATGGGAATATTCCCACTCGTCCCGTCAGGAATGCCCAGATCTCCTCTAATCCTCTCAAGAGTGCACCTGGCGCCTGATCGTCCCGATCCGTTCAAAGCAGACACTTTCTTAGTTTTCGCGTCGTAGTAGAGGCAGAACATGTCGCCTCCGATGCCTGTGCTGCATGGCTCGGTCATGTTCATACCAGCAGCTGACAGAAGAATAGGTGTCCGTTAGCACCAGCTCGGATCATAGTAACTTTGGAATTCACAGACCGACTGCTACGGCTGCATCCTAAGTCTTTTGTCAATTTGGATAACCAGGGGATCAGATAGAGTGCTCGTTCTTACGGCAGCGTTTCCTCCTTTCGCGAGAATCCGAAGCCCACACTGTGCAGCGAGGGGCTGCGTGCAGGCTACGATTCCGTCTGTTGCATGGACGACGCTTCGTCTGCTTGAAAAAGTGATAAAGTCCGTATGTGAAGCCATCGTGAACTCTCCTATTGGGGCGTGACCTCGGCTATCGCCACTTGGGTCTGAGAAGTCAACATTGACGGAAATGGAGATGGAAAGTCGTCCAGGACTATCCCACTTTTTAGCGATCATCGGTTAACATTTCGTCATTGACAAGTCTCAAAGCTCACGTGTCTCACCGTCTATTCTGGCTTGTCCTTTATGAGACCACGGAATGAGAGACTTCAACTTCCACGTACTTGCCCACGGCCAATTATTAGGCCAATAGTAATAAAAAAGAGTTGATCAACAGGTGATATATATTGATGGGGTATTAACGTCCACAGTCACGTGATATTATATATATACAAAAGGGAGCCCTGCAGCGGACTGTAATTACACTCATATCTCATAATTAGTAAAACTCCTGTCGCCGCGCCCGCTACATCTACATCCGTATATTCCCAAGATTCGACCTAAACCATCTGTAGCCCTCCATCCTGAAGTCATCCACCAGCAGCCTCCCCTCCCGCAAGAGGAAATGCATCAAATTCCTCCCTTCGCTCCATTTCGGCCACGGCATACGTCCGCCGTCCGCATTCGGATCCAAATTTTTCACGAAGCTGAAGTAGTACGAGCGTATATTTGTCGCGGTGTAAAATCCAAGTTTATCGTAGAAGATCGTAATGAGGTCGCCGGCATGAAATGAGCCCAGCGGGGTGAAGCCGGCGTTGTGTGACATGAGGTAGGACCAGACAGGGACGTCGGGGAACAAGGACGTATGCGTTTCGAGGAAGGACCGGCGGGTGAATATGAAGGCGAGATCACCGAGGATGGCGGAAAGGCGCTTGTATTGCGGTTGGATATTGTTCTTGTTCCCCGTGTTGAATGGGGAGCCTTGAGCAGGATCGTCGGGATACGCGGCCAAGAGTTCATCTATCTGGGTGGCGTTGGCGTCTTGAAAGTAATATTCAGAAAGGTAGGCGGCAATCTCCGCGGTATTCGTGATGTTCCCTTGGAAGAAGGCGAAGGTGGTTCCTTCGTCCTCTTGGTTACCAATGATGGTCGGCACAGCTGCATATTTCCCTGCTGCGACCAGAGCTTCCGGAGAGTCGGTTAGGACGACGCCATCAGGGCGTGGCATATACGATAGAGCGAGTGATGTGTAACTTAACAGTGCGGGAACAGAATTTGCGGCTTGGTGAAAGGTTTGGTAATCCAAACCCCGGAGACAATCCAGAGTGGAGGGCGCCGTGGAACACCCAGCTCTCAAGACAACGTGATCGTAGATAGCTTGAGCCTTCGGACTATCAACTGGATTTGCTGGAAACAAACTCCCAGAATTCATGATAGCGCCACGGAACAAAGGTTTGCCTTTATAGGTGTTGTTCCCATCGTACAAGAGCATTTGGTCCATGACCGAGACAGCTCCAGAAGATAGCCCCCAGATAGTCACCTTGCTAGGATCGCCACCAAATGCGGCAATGTTATCAGCAACCCATTCGAGGGCGAGCCTTTGGTCAAGCAAGGCCAAGTTTGAGGCTCCGTCGGCTTTGATCTCTTTGCCTGGTAGGAATCCGAAGGCTCCGGATCGGTAGTTGGCGGTCACGAAGATAAACTGCTGGTTGTTTCTTTCCGATTCTTTGAGCAAAATAGCCGCATCGTACATCGCTGTTGAGCCGAATTGGAAAGCTCCGCCCCAAATCCAAAAAAGCACAGGTAGATTGGAGGAGGCTGTAGTCCCTTTCGGTCGTTGGACGTTGATTGTAAGACAGTCTTCTCCAGTATTGGTGACCTTTTGAAACAGTGGATTTTCAGCGATAGCTCCTACCACGGACGTAAAAGGCGAGGAGTACAGATCGTTACCGAAGAACATCTGAGGGCATGATCTTGGGTTTTCCGTGTCGACTGTTTCTCCGAGGGCAGATAGTGGCTGAGGAGGCCTAAGCCTCAACTGCCCAATAGGCGGTTTGGCAAAGGGAATCCCTCTGAAGCTTTCTGCACCTAATCTACTGCGCGCGCCGATGATACGTGCGGGAGGAGTAGTGATGTCTACTGTCGGGTGAGGATCAAAGATGGACAGTGCGAGAGTCAAAGGCAGGGCGACGAGGAGGAGAGTAGCGAGCGTCATGATGGCAATACACAGAGGAAGTTGACACTGCTCTAGCCTTCTAAGACGCTGGGCAAAAGGCGGCACAACGCTATTATATAAGGATTGTTTATAAACATGAATAGGCTTCAGCTATATCTATAACTATCCTCTTTAAATTGATGTCGGCGCAGGCACGGGAGCATGGGTCAAAACATAGCAAATATTTATTCATGGGCCCTTGGAGATCCTAAATTCGATCCAAGGAGGGTAGTATAAAAAGAAAAACTCTAAAAGTGCGACGGATAGGCTTTTGTTCTAGCTCGTGCCACGTACCGCAGCTACGCCAATATTTATTTAAGGAAAAGGATATCACACGCAAGACTGTACACAGTTGCAGCGAATCTACCGGTAGGTGTTAGCTTAGAAGAAGTTCACATATGGAACTGTGTTAATTGTTAGGGTTAGAAGAGGAAAGGTGGGCTGGCGAGCTGGTTGATATTAGTGTGAGCTAGTCTGTGTTATTTGAGGATTTTTTATATATTTTTTTGGTGCAAATAAGAGGGAACTACTACGTATGATTCCTTACCTGTTCGAGATGTCCCTTGAGAATCTTCAACCCTCCCCTGCGGCAGAGAGTCAGGAGGGCCGAGGTACAGTCAATCGACGCACGGCGGTCCTTGCGAAGAGTCTCCCCTTTAACGGCGGCTCCGAAACCTCTTGTTTTTATATTCTGGCCAGACTACGGTCTATACCTGAGGCGCAGATCGACCGAAATTACCAGAAGGATTTGCAATAGAAGGGGAAAGCTTTTACTTATCTATAAATAGACTTTCGATATGAGAACTTTACTCGGCACGTCTCCGTGCATCACGGGAGATCTCCAGGGTGTTAATCAATGCGTCTTCTCACCCGCCAGACGAAAATAACATCAATCAATTGACAACTGATAAGTGTGTACAAGGTTACTTGTGCGGCCAACATATTTATCCCCTTATCGATAATCATCCCAAGTATAAATTCGAACTTACGCCTAGCCAAATATTCAACATTAGTGAGATTCAAAGCGTTGCAATATTTTCCCCCTAAATTAGAAAGATCAACGCATAAGGACAGATGTAATGGCCGCACGAGTACGACATGAAGTTATCCTCATGCTATAGCTCCTTGGATTGTTTCTCTTTGTGTACGATGTCCGAGGTCTTGAATCGATCAACGGCGTATGAATACGAAGGAGAAGGAAATGGAGCGCCTAGCTACTTTCAGCCTTGCCTGGGGAATCAAATATTCTTGTGTACGGAGTAAAGGCCAGGTACTATCCCATCCCCATGAATTGTTGTTGTTGTTGTTGTTGTTGTTGTATTTATTAACGTCGGGCGGGTATCCAAAACGCAATGCTTGGACCTTGGGGGACCTCTTATAAAGTACGGCGACGTGCTAAGTGAAAGAATTATATATAAAGTACTATCTAATCGAGAGTAAAAACCACGGTAAGGAAACCCTTTCGTTAAATAGCTGAACACTATGTAAACCTTTTAAAAGAAATTCATAGTGCTATGCGTCGAGCTTTCTTCCGACAACTATCGAATACGTATAGCCTTACGAGCGGCCTCGATCCGTATAATATAAACATTGTTCTCTTTCGTCGTTCGTCGTAAAGGAAAAAAGGCTCGCGTTCGTAGCCTTTGGATAAAGCCGGTGTGTTTGCAGAACGCTCTTTCGAAAGCGTAATACCGTATAATACCGTGTTTTCGATTAGTTAAACTAAGCCTTTCCCATTTCATATCTTATATCCGTTCTTTTTTTATCGCAAATCCTTTTAGTCTTTTTAGTCGGTATGCCCGTTAAGTATAGATCGTAATCGGCATGGTGTTTAAGAAAGAAAAGGGAGGTTCGGAACCGCCGGTAAAAGAAGATCTCCTCGAAGAAACGTCGCATATCGATAATTCAATTTCGGCTCTCCAGACTCTCTATCTTTATTTCTACCGCAAGAGAAAAGGAGAAAAAGAGCTGAAGGTTCGTAAGGGGCACCTCGTACAGGTAAAGAATCGTAGCCCCTCACCCCACCCCCATGAATACATGTCGAAAGTACTACTACTACTATTACTACTATTATGCAAGGAATCTTACCAGGGCTTAAACCAATCAACTTATACTACGTAAGAGTCCAGCCTTGAAAAGTATCTTTAAGTCAGTATTTAGTCTGTGCAATGAAGTTGACAGGGCTTTGAGCCATTTACTACGTAGTACCATGGTACAGGCCTAAGTGTTACAGCCTGAGGATGCCTTAAAAGTCTAAATCTTCACTTTAAACGTCCTGGTTACCCTACCCTCAGGGTGTAACACTTACGCCTGTGACGTTGTACTACGTAGTAGTAGAAACCTCCTCTCTACGATTTATGGGCCTAAACTGGGTCCGACATGTATTCATGGGGGTGGTAGAAAGTCCGGAAGTCAATCGACAGTTCATTGAATAATTCCCGTAAAGCCGACCCCTCCAAAAAAAAATTATTTTGAAGTATAGACTTTTCAGCAGAACTCTGATGTTCGTCTCTTTGCTTGATTTGCTTGTTTCAAAGCATTTTAAGTACCACGGTACAGGCCTAAGTATTACCCCTCGAGGGTGCCTTAAAAGTTTCGTTTCCACTTTAAACCCCCTGTTTTCCATACCCTCGAGGGGTAATACTTACGCCTGCGACGTAGTATAATCGCTTGGGCCGCCCTTCCCTCAACATGGGAGGCTTGTTTATAAAAGGTGTATTCATTAAGTAATGTTATCCGACGCCACACACACGACTAGCCGAGGGCTGAGTTTTCGCTCATTTGGTCTTAGTATTAAATGCTATTAGAAAAGATGGCGCTATTCTTTCGGTATTTGAAAGCAGAATGCTCGAATATTTGAATATCATATTTATATTCTAAAAGTAAAATCACTATCAAATTCGGGTAAAACGTTAAAGTCTGCGTCTAAATCCAGCGCTTTATTAGGCTATGTATCGATCATATACCCTCTTGCAAGGGGCTACGATTCTTTACCTGGACGAGGTGCCCCCTACGAACTTTCAGCTCTCTTTTTTCGGCAAAAAGAAGTTAAAAGCCGAAATTAAATCAAAGTGGCCTTTCAAAGAGATCTTCCTTTACCGGCGATCCGAACGAGCCTTTTGTTACCTCAACTACCACGCCGACTACGATCTACACTTAACGGGCATACCGATTGAAGATAGTAGTACTAAGAGGATTTGCGATAAAGAAGGAACGAGATAAGAAAGATAAAAGAAGGTTTAAGACGACTTACGATATTGCGCCTTCGAAAAGGCTATTTGGCTAAGTCCGGTCCGGCCCTAAATTATTTCGATAATGGATATCGATAAACGTTATTTACGCTATAACTTGCTTTTTTAGTTTTTCTTTCGACGAAAATATACTATTTCTTTTTTGCGATTTATCACTAGTACGTAGTATGTCCGTAAAAGAAAAGCATAATCGTCTATACTAATTTGAATTGCTTTTAAGGGTTATAAAGGTTTTGCGATATCGCGGGATTAAAGACTCGGGGCTATTTGAAAAAAAAGCTTTTTTTTCACGTGGTTTTCACTTCGGATTGGATCATACTTTATGTATAATTCCTTTACTTAGCACGTCATCGTACCTTTTGGAAGGTGCTAAGATTTAAGCATTGCGTTTTGAATACTCGCCCGAGGTTAATAAATACACAAATAACAACAACAATATACTCTCTTGCAAGCAAAGATTCCTTCCTTTCTTGCTGACTCCGTGTTATCTCAGCTTCAGCTTGTAATTGAGCTTAATCTCGAGCAATTGAGGATACTCGATTACACCGTAATCAAAGTGAGTACTTCACGGAATATCGGATTAATTTAAAGTTTCTCTAGCCTTTCTGCTTCAACTTCATCTTCCAGCTTCTATTTTATTAGTACGTCAGCTTTTTGCTTAACTCCAGCGTCGTTGAGCAGATTGATCGATATGTAACGGAGGAAGGACTGGTAAGCTAGGGGCTTGATAATACAATAAAGGAGACGAAGGGATCGCAAGAGGACTGGCTTACGCAAGACGATATTCGTCGAATAAGAAATCCTTGATGAAGTCACCTGGGAGATACCTTGCAAGCACGCTATTGATCGTAGGTTCAGTCGTTACAAAACCATTGATTAAACATTACGATGTACAAAATTGAGATTTAAGATATACTACGTAATTCCGACAAAAGCGCGCTCCGTAGATCAGCTTTGGCCCGATGTTTTAGCGATATTTGTTGCGTCGGACAACATTAATGAGCGGATAAATTTAATAAAAAGGACGGCCTAAGTTGTTATTGATTACAGCTCGACAACACTCCAGTATACTCTCAACAAGCGCTTAAAATTTAAATTCGCCGACCTTTTCCTACGCATCCTTAACAGCCGCACGCAATTGATCGTAGGTAAGATACCAAGAGATGGACCGTAAAAGTATCGCTCGATTAAGCTAGTTCCCGTAATAGGTCAAAACGGGGGAATATATGACCGCTATAGAGGCCGATACAACCCTAAGATGCATTCTTTCAGAGAAGGTTATACAATGTTGTTATTGTTGGTGTTGAATTGATTAAGCGTCTAGCGGGCTATAGCGTAGCAGGCTTATCACCGGATGACCTCCCCAGAGGTACGGAGACGTGCAAAGCGGAGGATTTATATACAGTCCATTAAATCGATCCTCCAAGCGCCAAACCCAGTACCAGCAATAATCATCTCTTGAATTGACCCAGTATCATCCTCTAATACCCAGAATGCAATTCGAAAAAGTGTCATCGAGAGCGTCGATAACGATCACAATTACTACTACCTCACCCTACGGGCGGGATGGATAGTATAATCAGAAAATAATCCAAACCCCGATATCATTTTCTCGACTCCAGGAAAGCCCGGCGGTGCTTTTCTTCTACAAGTCCGATAGAGGGTATCGAGGTCATACATTGTTAGCGTAGTCATTTAACCACTTATCATTGGTATCCAAAAAAAATATAGATATTGTAAATATACTGTCCAAATTATTTGAACTTTTGCTGAAATGGTTTAGTTTGAATTGTTTTCTGAAAAATTCTTTGAATGACCATCTACCAAAGCTCAATTAAGAAGCACATTACCTATTTTCTGCTGGTAGTACTCGTCTCTTCTACTACTCCTCATCTTTCCGTAGAATCCTGCACGTTCTTCAGACCAAATCTTTCGCTGAATCAATTTGATTATTTTCGCTTTTAGATTCATGAAAGCGTTGAAGTCTAAACTGTAGTAACGATACAGAGGAACATGTTAGCACGAATATCTACTTAATAAGTAATGTCTTCCAGCTGGTTTGTATCTAAGCCAATTTGATGAACCAAAAAGTCTGTGACTCAATGTATAAAAGGATTTGTTTTAAATTATGAAATCGGCGCTGCGTCAAAACCGTCTTGGGATAATCTCCTTCAGTAGGATGGTCTGCTTGCTAAATATTTCTGATTTGGATTTACCGTTTATTTTAGCTGGCCCAGTAGCCGTCTCTTTTAGAAGAGGGTCAGAGGACCATTGAAATGCCTGCCTGTCTATCCTGGGGCTTGGACCGACTTCCATGAATCGGGATTCTTCCTCTTGCATCCAAGTAGCATAACCATATTTCTCAACGATGAATCCTGGTTTGCGTGCTAACGGGAAATTTGCCTGATCATGGAGAGTTGAAATGAGAAGTATCAATTTACTCTGCTTTGGAAAGAGGTAATGACTGCTCGCACGCAGAACATCGATCTAGTGTAGAACGGTAGTAATGAGGTAGAAGATGCACCATAACCTGAACAGAGACATGCACGAATTGAGACTTCCAACAAACGAGATGATACCCGAACAATCAACAAATTATAAGTCAGTCCAAAAACTCACCGTCTTTGGACCAAGATTCCCCGCTTGAGGTACAAATTTTAGGGGAGGGCAGACCTACGGGCCAAGACTTCTTCTTGTCCCCCAACACCTGCAGAAACAAGAAGCTTTCAATTGGAAAGAATCCTATTCAACCCGGTGAGCACACGTGACCTAAAAAGCAAGCACCAGAAACCCAATCGCATAACCCGGAATGCCCTTGCGAGGAAATAATTGTAGAAGTAGCTGCAGCAAATCAAGGGGTATTATTGCGCCCATCACTCCGTCGCTGAAAAGCACAAAATAAGTCCGAGGTGTACAACAATATTATGCGTATGCAGCCCAACCTGTCGAGGTTAGTAAGCGACGTCAAAAATGAGGTGATAGTATCGAGAATATAGGTAGGTACCTGAAAACAATAATGCAAGGTTTTTCTCGTCGGTGGCCTGATTGATGAGATCGTTTACTGTTGCCGTGACACTCAAGGTCTTGGACAGCTTCTTGCCCACTACAGCCAAAGCTCTAGAAGCCTCCCCTGCCTCGCTGACACGATCCTTTTTTTCTGCGGGATTCGCAATATTGGCGGCCAAAGCAACACTCTGTCCCTCTTGTATCTTCGCCATACGAATCGGGCTTACCGACCAGCTATAGAGAGGATCGTATCTGAGCACGTCAAGGATCGCCATGATGGTGTAGCTTTCCTTTCTCAGCGCCTCGAGAGTAAATTCGCAGCACCGACGGAACACACCTTCGGTCTTGGTGATTCCCATCCCATCGACGATATCACGAGTAAGTCGGAAAGGCACCAGCTCTGGAACTGGAAGAACGCGACCTGTCTCAAAGGCAACCCCGAGATCGATGTGTACGACCTCTCCATTTTTCGCATCCAGCAAGATATTGTGACCGTGTCTATCACCGAGACCAAGGACATGGCCAAGGATCGAGATTGCAGCTGTACTTCTCGTGTATGCCAGTCTCGCCAAGAACCATTCGTCGGGGTTGGTGAACTTCTCCGTGAAGAAATATCTCATGGCCGGACGAAACTTGTTCGTAATCTCGCGATACTTCCTGACCCTAACGTCGGGCGACTCAAGTTGGACTCGGCTAATGCCAACTCGGCAGTCGCTGCCCTTCATGTCCTTGGGGTGATACCTCTCATGAGCGGGCATTAAAAAGTCGTGAAGAGGTTGAGTGTTTTGTACGAACTCTATAACTCCAGCAGTATTGGTGATAGGGAGGACGCCGTATGTCCGGATTTTCAAGTTTCTTTGGCGAGTGGATTTGTTGGTTCTGAGAAGCTCGCTAACTTGCGCAAATACCTGCTCCATGATGGCATCTTGACGCAGGTCATCATTTCCTCCTTTTACCTGCGGATTTTTAGCCGGTGTCTTGATATGATTTTGAAGAGGACTTACTAGCTGCTTGAATTTCTCACCACTGGTTGTAAGAGCAGTAATGATCTTCGGAGCACTGACACCGGAAGCTATCGAAAAAGTGGGTTCCAATCTCAGTAACAGAGGTAAATTGGAATAGTCCTTATTCGGCGCGAGAGGAATTTGCATTGTCGACGGAGGCAGCTTCAGCTTGAGCAAGCCGTTACTGAGATGAGCTACAGCTGCCGAGTCCTTGAGGGATAGCTTCCTCCCGGACTTGTACTTCTCGTCAGTTTCAATGGCCACGTTTGCATAGAGTCTGTTACAGGTCTGTAGTGCCACCCATTTCTCTGCAACGCTCGATTTGGCAAGCTTATTAGCCAGCTTTACCGCTGCCTGTCTTCTAAGGACGGAAGATTCATCTTGTGTATTATGTCTGCTTTTTACTCCGGCGTAGATCTGATACATTCCGTGGAATGGGTGATCGATACAAATCTGCTGAACAAGGCTGAAAAGAAGCTTCTGAAACTCAGAGTCCGAATCTTGTAGCCGAGAAGAGAGCTGGTTCATGAGGAGTGCAAATTTTCGGCTTGGTACGTCGCTCAAGTATTTTGAAACAGCATCATTCGCAAGCTCATCCTCTGAATGCTCCATCCACAGTGCACAGAAGCGCAAGGCATTACTATCGTGGTCGTCGCATGCAGAGAGAGCTAGAAGGTAGTTTTCGAGACATCTCCTCAGGAAAACGCTTCTGTTTCTCTCGTGGCTTTTCAGCTCTTCATGGTCAAGCTTTGACCAATTTTGGTGTTTTGTTAGCTGGCGCCTGTTAGACTCCTTCTGCTTCGATGATATGTTGCTGGGCATCTCTCCAACTATCTTTAACCATGCTTTGACCTCAGCGTCTTTGTGCTTGGTAAGCTTCTTGAGCCTATCAAGGTCCTCCAGGCCGTCTGGGTCGACGAGCTGCTGATCGCAGAATTTTGCGAATTGATGGAAAACCTGTCCGGCCTCATCGCCTCCCTTCCCTCCCTGTATTTCCTTCAGAGCCGGATGAAAATATTTGTCAACCACCGCCTCGGCCTTTTCCAGTCTTGCGACCGAGATCTGGTATCCAATTTTGGTCAAGAGCTCGGGCCTAGTGATGGCAATTGTCTGCTTTTCCAGTGCTTGCTTGTCGTCCAGACTCTGGAGCATGCCGATAGATGATGCCATCTCACCTTGATCCCACAGAGCATTTGCAGCCTCTAAGTGGATCGCCACTTCCGGATTTACACCAACATCATGGCAAGGTTTGATTAAGTCCAACATAGACGTAGCCAGGGATAACGACTCTTGGAGAGCACCGTGAGCACGATTGACAGTTGAGGCAAGCAAAGCAGTTTTGACCTCGATGATTCTGGTATCGATAGGCTTGAGAGCCATGATTTGTTGCAAGCGCGGTTCGCGATTTAATATGCTGAGTGTCGTCCCTCTGCAGGACAATATATGGCTGATGTCGTCGAAGCTAGGGGCAAGTTAAAGTATGTCCCATAGGAAAAATTCAGGCTATACAAGAAACATACCTTCCGGTCTTCATCCACGTAGAACGAGCATTAAATCTCGTAAGCATCTCTTCGAACTGCAACGAGCCCCGAGAGGTCAAGACTTCGTCCATTTCAGCCAGTGCGGCCAATGTCTGTAGTGAGCTATGCAACGCAGTTGCGGTCAAGTCTTTCTGGACCAGATTCCTCATAGTGCTCTCTAGTCCTTCATTCACAGCAAGCAGTATAGATGTATCATCTGAGGCCATGTGGACCGCTTGAAAGGCTTTGTAGAGTGTTACTGAATCGCTGCTTCCAGTGCTTGGGACGGGTATGTCCCACTGCTCTAGTTTCCGAGCTGTACGAAACATCGACTCAAGGACTTCTGGTGACATGCCAACATTTTGCTGCATTTGCAAAAGCGAAGAGGATATACCGCTCTGGTTCAGATTGTCCAGAGCTTTGACTAGTGATTGTACGTCTTGAGCTGTACCGGGATTTTGACGTCGTAGATGGCTGTCGTATTGAGCGCCTCTGAACGCTAGGCTCTTTGCCCCGTCTTTCTCGTGTTCAAATCGCGCCAGGATGGTACTTAGACTTGCTTTTTGTTGAACCCCGTAATATGAATCGGGATCGTCAATATTCTCGAAGATATTCAGCAGGAGTTCCGTCGGCAGCTCGACGTTCTCCAGGCTGCTTCTGTTGGTGGAAGACCGCCGTGAGGGCTGGGAAGGTACAGAACAGAACTCCTCTGTGAAGAGCAGAGATGTTTTATACATTCCACAACGTGAAGCAGCTTTAGCAGCCTTGAGAAAATTGACATCAAGCCAACGCGATCGGTCCGCCATGGATTTCTCTCCGGGGAAGTGCTGTGTTCGAAGGTACAGAATAGCGTTAAGGAGCATCTTGAGATTTTCCTTATTGATGTCCTGACTGCAATCGAACCAACGACCAAATGCAGAGGAGAGTTTCTTCCTCCTGTCTTGCTGATCATGTACAGGCGCGGAAATGGCCAGATGGACCAGGAAGGGAAATGCACGCTCGGGGAATCCAGGAACCATGCGCAAAATTGGTACCAGTGCGTTCAGATGAGGCTCCTTTGGAACAGATTGAGCAATTGCTACAGACAGATTCCGAAGCCATTTGTCATCAAAGATGGCTTCCGTTTCCAGAACTTGGCTTAGCGGTATTTGGCCTAATTTGAGACTGCCGACTTCGGATGGTGGGATCTGGTATAGGTTCCAAAAAGACGCTTCAATAAGAGAAGACGGGAGGACTTTTTGATAGGTGGTGTCGTCGGTTTTTGACAAAATAACTCGCAGTGCAGTCTCAGCCAAGCCGGCGTTTTCAGTAGCTGATGCTAGTGTCAACTCTTTCAGTAGGTTCAGTACGCAGGAAATGGAAGATCCAAATTCATCTGTGTGCGTCGCAAGTTCTGTGATCTGGGCCAAGGTAGATTCCTGCAGAAGGTCCTCGTGTACCAGTCCAGATGCAGCAAAAGCTCTGCCCAGAACTCTCGCTGCCCAAGACAAATACGCATTATTCGTTGAACCTCTGCAAGACCTCCAGACTACGGCAGCATAGTCGATAGAATGACCATCTTGTCCTAAAATATCGTTGCGAAATGACACTGGGGTTCGAAACTCGGAACTGAGCATGGACAGAGCAAGCTCTCTGGACGGTCGATCCAATAGAATGCCGCCATTTCGCTCGTCGTTGAGCAATTGAATCAGGAGCACACTCTCTAGCGAATCTTTGTCCGCAGTGCCTACACCGGTTGTGAATGCCGCCTCAACAAGCTTTCTAAAAGCCGACGCAGACTGGCCCTCTAATTCTGGCGAATCATACTTTCCCAAATACTGTCCGACCCAGGTATGGAACTGTTGCGCTTTGGAGATTGTATCTTGATGCTGGCTTTCTTGCGTTGTGCTCGCTCTTTGAGAGTCGCAAATTTCGCGCAACGAACCCAGCATAGCCAACGAGATACCAGCAACGAAAGCGGGATTCTGGACGAGGGCAGAGGAGCCACTAATCATCAAGTATTTGATGATGCCAAATGCATCTTCTGCACACTCGGGATCGATAATGAACGGCCGTACGGACTGTATGAGCATTTCCAGAGGATACCCCTGGATTGCAGCATTGCCAGCCAGGGCGATCAGGACTCTGAGCTTCCTCAACACAGTACATGCATGGAGGGAGCCAAGCGCTGGGTGAATACCGTTAAGCAGCTTTCTCCCAATTGAGACAATCAGAGCTGGTGTATATAGGTGTTTCAAGTCATGCCCTGCTCGTGGGCATATATACTGAATCCAAGCCTGCAGATGTCGCACCTTGAAGTGAGGTTGCTGGGTGGGCGGAAGGGTTTGGTTTGTCGAGTCCGAAGATCTGATCTGGTCGAGTATATTCCCAGCATAAGCGAGTGCTGGATCTTTGATGAAGTGCTTTGCCGCAGACATAACACTTTCTATGATGTTGAAAAAGACAGCAATGATGTCCACAAAATGAAGATTGAGACACTCGTGGAAAACCTCTCCACCTAATTGATTTTTCATACGTTTGTACCCGGTGACCAAGTCCTTCGAGCCACTGGGCGAAGAGGTATCGTGAGCAACACAATATGCTATGATTTTGGTGAAGCATTTCTTGATCAGATCGGTATAGTCGACGTTGATGCTTTCCGCCAGACTTTGTGCTGCCCTGTCTTCGCCGCGCATAATTAGTATAGCCATTGCTTCTTCTTGGGCCTCCTCGACGAGTTCTTCCAGACTCGTAAATCCAAAAATCCTAAAAGGGATTTCCTCGATCTTTTTTTTAACGCTCTCCCTTTCTCTATCGTAGTCAAGCCATGTGTAGAGAATCTGCGGCCTAAACAGAGTGAACAGTACTTTAGGCCTGTTGACATTCAGGGCAGAAGCAACCTGTGTCATACATCTCATTGCATGCTCGGTACAACTTGGAAGCAACCCAGCGGCCTCAAAGATGTAATAGATACAGCGCCGAAGTAAGGTGGGCCAGCTAGAGGCCAGCTTTGCAAATACGTATAGGCGGAAGAAAATACCTTCAGGTTGATCCCCGTTCTGTGGCAACTTCTCGGAAATATCCTGGAAGACACTATCGTGGTCTTTGAGTATGAACATGTGGAATATTTGGGAGATGTGGTTCCCGATGTAGAATTGGACAGATATGGTACCGTGTTGGAGGATTTTGAAAAGACTCGAGCGGGGCGACGGCAGATCCCTTGAGGCCCCATAGTCCGAATTGGACCTCATGAGGTACAATAGTAGCTCAGCTATGCCTTTCTGGACATGCGGAGAAGATAAATCTTTCTCATGAGCATGAGTGATAAAAAAGCAGTGCAGCTGGGAGGCCGCATCCGCTGTATCATTCTCTTCCTCAGCGGACCAAAAAGATCCGAGGCCAACGAGAGTTTCTAGGCACATTTTCATAGCGACTTCACACTGCAGATAGTCTTTTTCCTGCAGGATTAGCGCGATACGCTCAAGTATTCGAGTCGCAACACTTTCATCTAGTGTTAGGTCTGATTCAATGACATGCTTTAAGAGGCGCCGGCTCGCTAGAAATTGCTGCGTATCAAGAGAATCGAGATGGTCAACAAAAGAAGTTACGACACCTACGGAGCATGGTGTATCGTCTATCGCAGCTATCATTAACAAGTGGCCTGTAACCGCAAGATAGAAGGAGCTGGTCCAGGTTTCAAGGCAATCGATCTTTCTGGGCATATCTTCTCTTTGTTTATCTGCGTTGGAGTGGGCCTCTCTGATTATGAAATCATCGTTATCATCCATCATGTCGACATCAGACTCCAGAGATTTACCGTCAGTATAAACGTGGAGCTTCTTTACCGTGACCGCAACGGAAATGAAGAATCCGAGAAGATAGGGGTCTTTTTCCGACAATTGACGAAATTCGTTGGATCCGCAGGGAGGTAAATAAGGCTGGACCGACTGGAGCAATGCCTCATTGAGACATTGAGCTCCTTTCGGATCTCTCGTAAATGCCCCAAAAAGGAAACCTGCAATCTCCTTGGTAAATTCTCGCCCATCCGCTTCCAGGCTATACAGCTGCGGCTGCGGGAGAGTCGGGCCAATGAAGTGGGACATCAGAAGCAATATTGTAATGCAACTATTGGTTGCATTACGAAACATATCTGCAGATACCAGCGAGCATTGATCGGCCAGATAGGACTTCCAACTCTGTAGAATACCGCGGCATTTTGGTTGCAGAAGCTCGAGAACTAGCTTGCGGGCAGCTTGGAAGTGGGCGCTGCTGGTGACATAGGTGATACTGCCAGGGTCCGAATAAGCCGGGCATGATGGGCATGACCACTCTGCATCATAGCCCGGAAATTTATCCAGGAGCAACAGATATCGGAGGGTTTGCTGGCTGTTGACGTGTTGTCGCCATGCCAATGCAAGTGGACCGCAAGGCATTGTTGCGATGGAGGGTAAACTCACCCTAAATAGACCGAGACATGTTCGAATCAAAGCCACGATATGCTGCGGCTGGACATTGATGGAGTAACGAGCAGCGAAATTTCCCTCATCTTGTCAAATCAGCACGTCGACTGGAACTTGGCTTCATTGAACGTACCTGGGTTCCATCTGGCGAAGAGCCATCTGATGACATGCTGTGCAGTTGAAAGACTTGCGCTGGGGACTTCAGTGACTCTGGAATGCAGTAAATCCATCATCAAGAACATGCTCGAGTCACAGAGCACTACTGGCCCACTTATATCAGCGGATGTGACAATTGATCCCACGTCCTCACCAATGTCCTGGTACTGGACCAACTTTCTGGAGATTATTGCATGAAGCTCGAGAGCTGCACTGCGACACGTGGTCGAGAAAGTCAGGGACCGAATGCCGAGCTGCCAGAGCTGCATCCACTCCACTGAGCTGATATCCTTCACAGAGGTTTGGGCTGTACAACTATAAACATGTTAGTGAATAGCTAATTGGAAGGCAGTTCTTCTTCCCTTGCGACGGCCAACAAAGCCCAAGAAGTGATATTCCCGCGTTTGTCACCAGCACATATTTGCAACTGCGTTAGCAGATCTGAGAGTCTAGACGCCGAGAGTTGGGTATCCTGGAGGATGAATGAGATCATCTGCAAGCCTGCTAAGCGTAGAGTCTCGTCCCTTGCTCTGAGCAACTCGAGTAGTCGATCCGGTACGCGCTGCCGCTTCCGGGGATGGTTGTCAACGTCGTCGCTCCTCTCACCTGCAGCGGAACCGACTCGCTCTTGGCCAACAGCCACAAGTCGCTCAATGATCCCGATACTTCGGAGGATGGCCCAGTTACGTTCAGCTCTGACGTTGTGAGGCTTCAGCCCGAACCCGTACATGCAAAACGGTGTGCTTAAACTGTTCTGGCTCTCGCAAAAATCTGCCATGTCTAAGTCATCTAGTTGCAGCTGATCACGGTCTGATCGCTTCGCATAATCCCCTTTCAGCGCCTCTAAGAGTTCCTCCAGTATTGGTAGTAGCTCCAAGTTATTCTCGTCCCCAATAGCTCGTTCTAGGTGAAGATGGACGGAGAATAAGAGAATCAGCATCTCATCCCTCACAGTATTCAAGAGCTCGTCTTTTGCCAAAGCCTTTCCTTGCCATAAACGACAGATAACAGGGAGTATCTCTTGAGCAGCGGATTGGCAGAAGACGGTTTGTTCTTCTCGCACATGGCTCAGGACGATATTGAGAGTAGAAAAGGCGACTTGGTGAAGTTGGCTTGCACTAGAGCCTTGCATTTTCAATATTCGAATAGTACTTTCCCCGACCTCGGAGTATCTGTTGCCAAGCGGTGAATTGGATGCGGAGAGGAGCAAGTGTAGAGTCTGGAACAGCTCCTCGATGTTTTGTCTATTCAGCGAGCCTTCGTGAGCGCGTACACGGCTAGACTTGACTAACGAACTGGAAGGATGGCTCGTTCCGGTACCCGAATGACTGCGAGGCGACTCTTCATGCTCATCCAGGTATGTGTTCAGCCCTTTGAGACAGAAGTCGACCACATGAAGCCAAAAATCGGCTTCCATCCGCTCCACACGAGGCTGAAACTCAAATAATGTAGTCAACGCCTTGAGGCAGTTCTGGGCAAGCGGTTCATTGTAACCGCCCTCTTCCTTAAGAAGGGTCTTGATAATGTGTGCCACGACGTCCTTGACGGTATTGTTCTTGAGCTTGTGTGCGCCAGTTTTAACCACTGTTCGTATGATGTCGCCACAGGCATCAAGCCGTGCCTCCGCTGTACTTCTGGTGTTCTTTACTTTGGCGATCTTGTACACAGCTAGCTCGGCCGATGCCATGTGGAAAACACCGTCGTAGACTCTGCGGTATGCCTTGTCGGAAAGGTGGTCACTAGGGCAGACATATAATCAGCCACAGCCTGGATTGGCTGTAATATTCCGAGAATGCACTCACAGCTTTGCTCTGTTATCCTTATCAAATAACACTTTTAAATCTGGAAATCATTAGTTGTACCCAGTCCTTGGATACGGATGCTTACCTCTCATTGCATCGGCGCGAGATTTCTGGGTTGTACCCCAACATCCTTCTACAAGAAATCAGTAGAAGTTCAGGCTTACATATAATTAGAACGCAGAGAAACAGCATCGAAAGGCCAGGAAGAAGTGCCTACCTAATGCTTTGTCGAGGCGAACCTCGTTGTTATCAAGGTCGCCCATCTTGAAAAGACTATCAAACAGCAGCGAGTGCTCATAGCTCGCGTGCTAGCAGTAGGGAGATATACAGAGAACGTTGTTGACAGAAGATCGAGACTTTCGACAGCTATCTCGTGGAGTAGAGGCAGCTAACGGCGATCATCCGGTGCAATCGTCGTCCCGAGTGGGTAATTGAAGTTGAGATAGCCGACGGAGGCTCGGGGCTGAGTAAATAAATATTTTCTTCAGCCTTGCCGGGAACGACGCGACTTTCTCTTTGCATTCTGGATCAACAATTCGCTTGGCACCAGTCGTTTCGCAACACCTCAATATTCCTCCCAGCACCCCGCGATTCAGCCAGTACCTTCGACAACTTCAGAGCTGGTTGGCTGAATACATGTGTGTATCTTAAAGTTGCTGCCGTCCTGTTCTGGGTCAAATACGAACGATCGCCCGCCTGTGCCTCTCGGCGCATCGATCTGAAAAATGGCAGAGGTGAGCAGCTTGGAAAGCCTCCAAGCTCTCTATGCGGATCTACTCGCCCTCTCAGAGTCACGTCTATCGAGCATCGAGCGATTGGGCGCGCAGCTTGATGCGCACATCAGAGACTTCAAAAATCTGCTGGACAAGAAACCGCGGAGTGAGCAAAGTCGGCAGAGCTTGGCAACAGGTACGAAGCATCAGAAGAAAAGCCTTACAGAAGCTAACATATAACCCAGGGAAGCTCGATATTGATGGGGACCAGTACACAATCAACGATGACTTCCAGCAAGGTGCATTACAGCTCGCAAACGATTTGAATCTAGATGAGCTCGATGCCGCGCGGATATTCTTTGAAGTTCAAGATGAGACGGAATCTTCAGGACGATCGGCAATTACGAACTCGATCGTGCGCTATCACCAGCGGCGAAAGACCTTGCTCGACTGCCTTCAGCTACTCATACAGTTATCCGCAGACGAAGAACAGGACGAGGCTCTACGGGCAGATTTACAGGCTATCGTAGCCCAAATAACACAGCCAGAAAACGGCTCAACAAGATATACGCAGAGATGTCTATCCGGTATGGAAGATATCAAAAACGAACTGCAGGCCCTTTTGGACAGTCTGAACCGGGTGGCACTGATGGGTCCTGAGCAACAAGCAGAAGCCAGAGAGACTATCGAATACCAGCGAGTTAGTCTCGTAAAGCAGCATGAGACCTTAGGTCTCATGATGCTGTACTTGGTAAAGGAGAACCACTCCGTTGAAGCCGATTTTGAAAAAGTTCTGAATACCCTCAGACAAGCCGACAAATACGATAATTTGCTCTGTATGTTGATTACACAGTTTGAGATTTTGGCGCAACCAAGTGAGCGTGTACTGACATAATTTTAGTACACTATTTTCCGGCTCTTTCGGCCTTCATCTCAGGTCTTGGGGGTGCGGAGGGTATAAATGTACTAGCAGATGCGAGAGCGTTGAACGACAAGATATTCGCACGGGTGGATGACAAAAATGCGTGGGCATTGTCATATGTCCACGCTGCGTTCCGAGTATTCTGGCTGGCTGAGTATAGTAGCTGGTACACAGAGAATTCCGACGGGAGTATCCCAGACAACCAATTGGAAGACGAGGCCAGGCAGCGATCTAAGCAATTCTACGATGCTTTGAAGGACGGGGCTTTCGATTTTATCCTGTCTATCTCTGCGGATGTCAAAGCTGCTGAATGGCATGACCCAGCGCGACATGGTTTGCGCCAGTGGCTACAGCGTAAGGCACCGATCATTGTGGCAGACTCTGTTCCATTTTCTCAGACATTCCAAGAAGCCCAAATGGAACAGCTCGAGGGGTTCATCGAAGCTTTCATCACAAATCTCCCAGATGTACTGAGAAAGCTCCGTGTCGATGAAGACGAACAGCGCCAGCTGAGTATGGAGCATGAGCATGATCTTGATCTAGAAAAGTTCATTGTGATCATATCTTACGCTTTCGAGGGACGACCGAAGGCAGCTTATGGTGGCTTCTGGGATGTTCCTGATGGGGCGCTCCTCGGTTTTGTTCACTGGGCTTCCAAGCGAGCATCAACGCCCCTAGTCAGTGCTTTTTGTGAAATGCTTCAAGCTATCTCTGAAGACGAAGACTGTGCGACAGCCGCACATCACTTTTTGATGGATGATGGGACACAATCATCTGGCAAAATGAGAAGAACCCACTCTTTGACTTGGAACCAAATTTTCAAAGAGCTTACTTTTTTTTCCTCCAAAATCCGCGACCGCCCAGCTTTACCGCAACCGCAAGCTTTCCGCACCGGAAAGCCTAACAGTGATCTTGCGGAGGCAGAACCGGAATCGGCAATGATGCTGGAATGCTACTTAAGGCTCATTACCCGACTTTGCTCCGAAAGTGAACCAGCTCGAGCATTCTTAGCCCAGCATCCAACGTTCCATATCGTCGACTTGCTTTTCCAACTTGCTAGCAGTGCAATTCAACCTCGGCTCAGAGCATGCGCTTTTACTACTCTGCGGTCACTTCTTAGCCACAAAACGAGAGAAGTAGGGGAGTATCTCTGGGCGGCTCTTGACGTTTGGATGGCTGGCGGGTATTTTTCAGGGTCAACGGCGCCTAAAGCCCCGGCCATCGCACCAACCCCGTATTCTATGGACAGAATTCTCAGAGGGTTGGCATCCGGGTTCGAAGAACCAAACGCATTTGTCCAGCTTCTCCATGCTCTCGTGCTACCGTATGAAAACGATGTTGGTCTCCGCGATGGTTTACCTTTCCCAGAGACTTTGGGGATCTCAACTCGCCAGCCGGGTATCGAACCCTATGTCGATTTCGTACTAGGAACGATATTTGCCGATCGAGCCTTGGAGCTGGGTGAGGTCGTCCAAGCAAGGTTGCTATACCTTACCTGTCTGGACTTCATCGCTACATGCCTTGATACTTTCAACGAGGATCTGGTCATCTTTGCCAGCCATTCAAATGTCTCTGTCGATTCAGCTATTCAGGCGTCCACGCTTCAGAGCTACGTCCTCCTTCACCCTTTTTCAAGGGTGATGGAATGGGTTTTCAATGACAAAGTTATGGCTGCGATATTCTCTACAGTCCGTCAGGACCCGGCAGATGTCGCATGTGCTGCACCAGATTCACCTTTGATATTGTGCCTCTTGCGTGGCCTCCATGTTATCACGGCAATTCTAGAACTTCAGCCTACCTATCTGGATATAATCAGGCCACTTATGAAATCCCTACCAAATTACCGAAGAGCTGCGGTCCCAAACGCTGCATATGGATGTTTCGAGGATGGTGTCCTCAACAATCTTTCCATCATCTCTGATCTGGGTCGGTATTGTGGGACTGGCCATGCAGAGCTCATCGTTGCGTCTTTGAAGTTGTTAGAGAAGCTGTCTGCATCGCCAAAGCTTTCTCACCCACCAAGCACAGGCTTAGGGAGAGGGTCAAATCGGAACAAGGCACTTGCCGCTCTTGACGATGATGCCGAAACAATTTCAAAGATCATGCTGCGTGAGATGGAAGCGGATATTGATATCAACCAAGGGCCGGAGTCCTCCTCATACATCATAAAGGTCCATATACTGGACTTCCTCATTGCATGCCTTCGAGCCACTCCCGGCCAAATCACAATTGCCCATCTTTTACTTGGATTCCAGTGCGGTCCGGGAAGTCTCAGTGCAGATGCACATGGCTCGTTCAGCCGTGGGATCTCTCTTTTCCATACAATCTTGCTCCTCGTATTGCAATCGCCTATAGAGGATGACACTGGTCCATCATCGTGGCTAGTGTCCCTGAAACTGAAGGGCATGTACGTGCTGAAGGAGCTCTGGATTTCCCCTCTGTCTTGCAAGTTAGTCATGTCAGAAATGCAAGCGAATGACGCATTTTTTGACATGTTTCTCAAAGAAGGAGTAATTCAACCGGGAATACTTTGGGACGGCGTAGACATTGCGGACCCGGTTTTTCCTTCCACACCAGCGGCGACCTGTCTATCCGAATATTTGTGTCGACGCGCCTTGGTGTTACATTATCTTTCTGCAGAACTCCGCCAGGTTGTGCGTGACCATTCTCCATCACGGAAGCAGCGGATGTTTGAGACGCTCCTGGGATCTACAATACTTGATGACGGCCAAAAGATAGACCATGCAACTATCTTTGATTTCTTCGATTTTATGGAGCCCGAATTCAACCCCAGCCCCGTTCATCCGCAGTTGTCCTGGTTCAGCGATGTCGACCTCTACGCTTGTCTGGACGACGCACAAGACCCTTCTTCTCAATTTGATCTAAGCAAGATTGAAGAGCTTCTCGTGCTGAGGAAGGCAGAGCTGACACACACTAAGAGATTGGAAAATCCACAGGATGTAGTCTTAGTTAACAACCAGGCCCAGCAACTGCTAGAATTTTACGCTCAAGATAACCAGATAAAGACTCTTACAGCTGCCCGATTGGCAGTCCTCAAAGCCTGGGTTCAATTGACTCTAGTAATGGTTTCATGTGGCGACTTCGATGGTCCAGCCAAGATATCTTTTGTTTTAAGAGCTCTGCAAGCAATAATGCCGAGGCTGGAGAGTGGTCTCGACGTTGTTGACGAAGCTATGCAGCTGGCGAGCCTTGCAAAGTCTCTACTTTTCAGCATCGACTTCACCTCCGATGCTTTCAAGAAGGGCGACACCGGAACCATGGTGAGCGACAGGCTGTTCCACCTCTTTCAGTTGTCACTTAGAGCAATCAGCACGCTCGGATCCAAGGTAGCCCTGAAGGAACATTACTATAGCATAGCCTACCGCTACCTAACGAGCATGGCAGATGTGAGAGGCATCTCTGGGCTTCCACGACGACACAGCATTCAAACAATCAAGTCTGCTGGTGAGCGATTCATCGACTTTGTATGCGACGATGCCCATGGTGGCGAGGGAACCTGCCGGATCACCGCATTGCTTCTTCTCGGGGCAGTGATCAAGTTGGGGAAGCAAGAGAACTCCAAGTACATTATTGAGTCCCTGACCCGTCTTAATTTTGTCAGCATTCTTGTGGAGTCTATCCAGGGCATGGCGGATGATCTACGAGCCACTCCTGTTGAAGGTAAGTCTGAGTCCTTGACTCTCCCTAGACGTGCACTGACTCATTAGATGTTGATATGTATCTGTCATATTGCCACGCCAGACTTTCTCTACTCCTAAATCTATCACAGACTCGGTACGGGGCATCCGCTGTTCTCAATACAGGACTGTTCCATTCCGTCAAAGCCTCGGGATTTTTCGCAATCGATCCCGATTTGGGCGTTGGTATGTCGACCCGTTCTTACACAAGGCTCTTGCTAACGCCCTCAGATATTGACGGTCCTGGTGCCGTCAGCAAACACTACAACCTGTTGGCCGCCGTGATGCGTATCTTATGCGCCACCATCTTGAGCCGAGGCTCTCAAAACCAGCAGACCATAGAGCTTGGGCGGCGATTCCTATCAGAAAATAGAATCTCTCTCCTTGCAGTCCTCAAAAAGTCTGCAGGACTCGGGGGCGCCGTTAAGGCTTCTAGCCAGAGCATCGATGACCTTGCAGAGACATATGTGCTGCTTATGTCGATCACAGGCTTCATTGACGTGAGTTTACTTTCCGTAGGGTTAACGATGCAGTTCTAATAGTGAGCAGTTCGAGGATCAGACGACCGAAAATCAGCAGGCGGCGAAGAGAGTCTTCACAACATTCACGTGAAGGGAGGTATGCCTTGGAAAACGCTGTACCGTAGATACCAGTAGATAGGTAGAAAGGGATCCCGTTTCGGTGCATTGGAGAGGAGAGACCAAAGACAAGCCGTGGCCGAAGTAGCATGGGGATGGATGACTTGGCTGTGAAAGTCGGGCACTTTTCGAAGATGTTGTTATAGGTGGAGATGTTAGTAGTCGAAATCAAGGCGCCCCAACATTGTAGGTATTACATCATCCCGGACCGGAAGTCTAGAAGGACTGTAGCCTACCGTCCCGTACCTATCTACTCCCTTCTTCGACCTCAACATACGTGGTGGTACCGTATCACGTTTTCTAATCCTTATCGGTGATAAGCATTCCCCGGCTTGATATTCCCCAATCCCCATGCCCATACCCATAAACATACCCATTCGCGTCATACAATAACAAAGGTACCGTAGCTAAGTAATTGATTCCCTTCAACAGTCACCCAGGCCATTCTTCAAGCTCCTGCTGTCAAATCCTAATCGTGCGGACCAAGATCCGGTGGTGCAGCAATCTCGTCTCCCCTTTCACCTGCAGCTTCCCGCCTTGTACCTCCTCGCCCGACTCGACTCGACTCGACCCCACTACCACTACCACTACCACTACCACTACCTACCACAACACGCTTTCAAACTCAATGAGGGATAAGTAAGCGTCCATGCCGTCCCCAGAGGATCCTCCTGAGCCCACCTCAAGCCCGTCCCGATCGTCCTCGAAAAGAAGGTTCCAGGAGAGCTCAAAACTCTCCACAAGTCGACACACATCCACCCCCGAGCACCAGGCAGGAGTGCAATCCACCATCCCCTTCACGAAACGACTGAAGACGTCGCACACGTCTGGAAACCAAGGTCTATCGTTGGAGATGAGCAAGAGCGCCAGTCTAGATAAGCGGCCAGTCGTCATTGACTTGACGAAGCAGCCGCTGCAGTCGAACTTTCAGCCGAACACTGGGGCGAAGAAGCTGCTGGTCAAGAACTTGAGGACGGCCTCAAGGGCGAAGGATCTCGATGACTATTACAGTCGCACATGGAATCAGCTTGATGCAGCTCTGACAGCTATCTTCAACAGTCAGCCGACTGCTGTGGCTCTGGAGATCTTGTATCGAGGCGTAGAAGCATTATGTCGACGAGAGAGGGCAGCGGAATTGTTCTCTCATTTCAGAAGTCGGTGCAAGGTTTATTTGGAGAAGGAGCTGCTTCCGAAAATTCAGAATGAAGCTGGGACGGGCAATGTCGAAGGACTACGGACTGTACTTAAGTTTTGGACAAGGTGGAATGAGCAATCGGTGAGTCGTCTCGATTTTCCTCGCGAGTAAACTAATTTCTGCCCAGACCCTTTTAAGAGCTATCTTCAGCTACCTCGATCGATCATATCTTCTTAACATGAAAGACCTCCCCCAATTACAGGACCTTAGTATCGCCCAGTTTCGCCATGCCGTCAATACCAAGGGAAAGGCAAAGGACGGGCAGAAAATGGGCGAGAAAATCGTCTGGGGGATGTGTGACCTCGTCGAATATGACCGAACCAGGCAGGCTGAGCTATTCGATGGCGCTCTCCTGAAAGATTCGATTCTGATGCTCCATATCTTTGGAATATACACAAAGTCCTTCGAGCCGGAATTAGTCAAGAGGAGCTCTGCGTACTTCGAAAAATTTGCCGAGGAAAGGAGTATGTCAGGTATGAAGGAGTACATTTCTGCTTGCGACATATTATTGAACCGAGAGGCCGATCGCTGCGATGCGTACAATTTTGATAGTACAACGAAACGTAGGATCCACGATTCCGCCCACGAAATCCTTATTGAACGGCGTTCAAACATACTTCTGGATGAGAATAGCCTTGCCAAGATTATCGACAGCAACGCAATAGTGTCGCTGAAGATTCTTTACAACCGGTTGCGACTCTCTGGAATCCAAGAGAGGCTGAAGGTGCCGTTCGAGAGCTATATCAAGCGGGCTGGATCTGAGATTGTAGTTGATAAGGACAAAATCAATCAGATGGTCATCCGCCTGCTTGAGCTGAAACGGAGACTGGATAAAATCATTCGTGACGCATTTGAGAAGGACGAAACCTTTTCTTACGGACTCAGGGACGCATTTGGCAACTTCATGAATGACAGAAAAAACTTGTCGGTAGCGGGGAACTCCAAAACAGGAGAAATGATTGCCAAGTACATGGATACATTACTTCGTGGAGGTCTGAAGGCAGTCCCGAGATCTTTAACATCTGATGCCCAGGACCGAGACGATGCCGAGAAGCAAGGTCTAGCAAGCACCGGCGACGAAGACGCTGAGCTTGACCGGCAGTTGGAGCAAGCACTGGAGCTTTTCCGATTCATCGAAGGCAAGGACGTCTTTGAGGCTTTTTACAAGCAAGATCTTGCCCGTCGACTCTTGTTATCTCGCAGTGCTAGCCAAGATGCGGAACGCAACATGCTCGCCAAGCTGAAGATTGAATGTGGAACCAACTGGACGCACAACTTAGAGCAGATGTTCAAGGACCAACAGATTGCTAAGGATGAGATGATCGCTTATAAGGAGTACCTCAAGGAGAAGGAGATCAACCCCGCTGTTGATCTTCAAGTTTTCGTGCTCTCCGCAGCCTCATGGCCTACCTACGCCGACGACGAGGTCAACATGCCATCGGAAGTCGCGCGGCAAATTGAAAGATACGAGCGTCAGTACAAACACAAGCACAATGGCCGACGCCTCATTTGGAAGCCTCGCCTCGATCACAGCATAATGAAAGCCACTTTCAAGAAAGGCCCCAAGGAACTCGCCGTCTCTGGCTTCCAAGCTATCGTTCTCCTCCTATTCAACGATATCTCATCCTCAGAGGACCAAAGCCTCTCATACACTGATATCCAAACAGCCACTAACCTAGTCGACGCCGAGCTCAAGCGTACCCTGCAATCTCTTGCCTGCGCCAAATTTCGCATTCTCACCAAACACCCCAAAGGCAAAGACGTCAACTCTACCGATACGTTCACTGTGAATCTAGGCTTTTCGGATCCGAAGTACAGGATCAAGATCAACCAGATTCAGCTGAAGGAGACGGAGGAGGAGAACAAGGATATGCATGAGCGTGTCCAGAGAGACAGGCAGTATGAGACTCAGGCAGCGATTGTCAGGATCATGAAGAGTCGGAAGTCTCTGTCGCATGCACAGCTCGTGGCAGAGGTTATCGAACAGACGAAGAAGAGGGGGCCGGTAGAGGTTACGGAGATCAAGGAGCAGATTGATAGTAAGTCCGCCCATCCCATATCTTTCCGTACTTGTGGAAAAAGAGTGAGTGCTAATGAGATGCAGAACTGCTTGATAAGGATTACCTGGAGCGTGGTGATGATAACTTGTATGTGTACGTCGCATAGATGGGAGGTGAGGCGTGTGTACTACTGTGGGGTATAGATGATGAACGCACCGGGAGAGGGGTTTTGATGATAATGAATTCGAAGGCTGCATCGTGCAATCATTCGCGGTAACTACCGTACACCAAGATGATTTGAATGATTATTTTCTAGACTTACCCCATGCTTTTCACGATGCTTCGCTTTGTTACTATTTTCATTGACTGAGTCCCATTTTGGTGACGGCGCCGCCATGCGTATGCCCTAGACTAGTGAGTGGCATCAACCTGCCCGATGTGTTCTCGGCATCCTTCTGCAACCTATCCTGTTCTGTGCCGCTTGTTTCATCTTTCCCTTCAATTCATGCCTTCTTTGAGGATCCGCTGTGCCATCTATGGGATTTTCGAGGGCGGGTCAGGCCGTTCGAGGCTCGTGTGCTAGATGCGATCAGCCAGTAAGCCAGCCTGTTGTTCGAGAAGACGATCCCCTGCAAAAGTTTTCCCATTTTTTGATGTCCCGAGGGGATCTTTTCCCGTGCTTTTATCGGTGCTCCTTACGTATGATGTGCGGCATTTATAGCCGCGCGCTCAGATTCGGTCTACTGGTTTGGCGTTCCATCGGCGACTTCTTGGGGGCATCGACTTGAATCGGGGAATTGAAAAAAGGCTTTTTGTGTGCCTCGAAAGAGATTGAATGGAGCGTTTGTGAGGCATCTCCAAAATGCTTACTGTGATTGAGGGATGTGGAGACTGGAGAGGAGCAAGAGCGGAGAGTTTGTCCTGATGATCTTTGGTCTTGAAGCACTCGCCTCAATCCAATCATGGTCGAAGCCCCCCCTTTGTTTTTACTTGCCCCTCTCCTTGATATCCGATCAGAACCTTCGTACTCGATCCTTTCCCCAATCGCTTTGGTTTGGGGGATTCGACGGAGAGAGAAAGCAGACGCAAGAGAAGGCTCGTGACTCTCTGCCACGGCTGTCTGCTGGAAGCCTACGATCCGAATAGTGGTTTGCCAATAGCTGAGCGATTTGCGAAGTTCGTTGACTCGTGTATCTCGTCCTTCGTACCTGTATCCGTGTCGTCTCCCATTCCCGCTCTCTTGGTGCTCGAGTGCATTCGCGACGGGGCGAGTCCTAAATACGTAATAAAGTGTTTTTTTTTTTTTACTTTGGAGCCTCAAATACCATCAAGCAGTTACCTCCATACCATTTTTCTACAACTTGTTCTCCACGATTACCTATCAGTCGGATAATGGCTGTGCTGTCTGTGAGCTGCCACCATCTCCCGCGTGCTTGGTTCGGTGATGCGCTCGTATCGGCTCCTCCATCAGAGCTTGTTGTATTGACGTGCAAGCGGCAAGCCAAACCCGAGCAGCTCGTCTGGCCCCAATCTCTCGCCTCCCCAGTAACCCCCTCGGCAGCAGAACCCATATCCAAATAGAAAAAGAAAGAAAAACCCAATCAAACAAAAAAGGCAAAAAAAATGTTTTGGTTCAGGTGCAAGCTCGGGATTTCAGATGGAGGATAGGGGATCAACTTACACATATCTCTTTCGATAGTCTGACGGAATTGAAATATTGACGGAATTGAAATGCTGGTAGCCTTGGCTAAATTGTTCGGTGAGAAGACTTAGGTATATGAGCCGAAGCCCACAGTGGCCGTTCTTCCAAGTTGGTTGAGAAGAGGGTGGCGCTGCCCGAGTTGGTGGTTGTCTTGGTTGGTCGTAAGGGGGGGGGCTAGAGAGCACGTTAGTCTTTGTTGCTGCACGACTGCTGAGCTTGCCACCTGAACCACCAGGCTACTTTTGATGTGGTGATGCTTGGTATTCTGATCTATGACCAGAGTAAGAAAATGTAGGCCTCGTGCCTTAGATGTGCCTTGGAAGAGCCGTGATCGAAAGTATAAATGCAATCGGGTCGAACTGATTTGGTTGGCATGGGTTTCGACAAGTTCGCATCCGGGAAACACTGGGGTAGTTTGGAGTCTCGGGATGCGGCGTTGTGTTTTCCAAATATCAGAACTCTGGAGAACAAGAAGAGATATGAACGAAAAGTCATAGTCGATGACGAGAAATGTAAAATCGGCTATCGATTCTGTTCTTTGGAGGAGAGCGTGTTTCTCTTTGGGACTTCGTAGATCATGCCCCAGGGGTGCTTTCAAAGCTCACCACTACCCGGCTCGAGGCCTCTCTTATACAGAGCTGGATTCGACTGTCGAGTTCCAGCTTGAGCCTGAAGTCATATTGGTCTCTGTGGACGTATGGCAGCAGGAACCCACTTCATCTCGATATCGAGACACCCACACGTCAGCAGCCGTAAACCTCTTTCCTAATGGGATCATCCCCTTCAGCCGACTTTGATATTGATTCAGGCTCCACGCTCCCATCTTCCTTGGCCTGTTCCAGTCTTCGGCAATACTTACCACCAGCACTCCTAAGGCTACGCTCCCCAACACAAGAACCGAGGATCCATCCATCTGCCATGCCACTGAGTACGCGAATGCGAATGTCCACCGTGTCTGGCATCTATCGGTCGTGATCAGAAATTTCAAGCCCTGGCAGAATTTGCAAGGACAACCAAAACCTTCACTGGACGCGAAGAGCTTGTTGTCATGGCTTGCAGACAGAACCTGTTTTTTTTTTCTTCGGGTGACAGATGCATTTCTTACCGCATTTCGTGTAGCACCCAGTGCCAGCGTTTTCGGCTTTGAAGGACGTATCTTAGTAGGCAAATGCACAATCTGGTTGTTGAATTGAGCCGCAGATTTTAACCGAACACTTGGGCGCCCTCGCTTCCATTGGAACCACCTATGTGGATGTGCTTTGAAATCATAACAAACAAAGAGATTTATAGTCATCAAGTTATATATCTTTTCACTCTTAGATGGGCACCTATTCAACTTCAACATTGATCACATATCGCTACTCCTTGGTTTTTTCGAAAATCAAATAAATTATCTGATTGGAAATCAAAAATATTGCAATTAGCACTTCACAATGAAGATACTAAGTCGAAGACGAAAAATTAGGAAATCGCAAGATACCATCATTCTGTTATCCTGCGCTATTCTATAAAGTACTCGGAACTCAGATCTCCGAGTAGAATTCTACTGCAGTGATGATATATTGACCGGTATGTAGATATCCATTCTGTAGCAAAAATCACCAGGTACTAGTCTAACGGGAACAAATGGGGTTTTTGGCGAATATTTCTGTCTGTATTGCCCACAGAGACCAAAATCACAAATTCTGATTCAGCCAGCACTGATCGCCGCAAATCAAATGAGGGCATGAAGCAATTTGGCCCACTTCCTTCGCATCTACCCCTTCATCATAATAACGTACCAGAGAACAAAAATAAAGCAACGATGGTGTACCCAACTTGCATGTACCCAAATTGCCACCAAACAGGACCAATATTGGCACTGCTTTGGTAGACAATCTGGCCGGTCGTCGTGTTGAACATCTGGAAGAAGAAAAATGGGTCAGTCGGAATGCTGAAGGTCTCATTGGACCCAGGAATCGTAACATTGACAGAGGTCCTATAGTCCTCAATTTTACAGATTGTACCCGGCTCCGACGGATCTGAACAGCGCATGGCATAGGCGGCTTGCCGAGTAGGATTAGACGAATTGAAATAGGCTTTGACGTATCCAACCGATAGCACTGCTGTCTCCAGTGGTGGACCACCTGACCATCCCTTGTCTCCATTTGACCAGTGTGTGAGGATTAAATGGCCTGGCTGTGGATCGACCGTAGTATTCATTACGCCAATGACTTGGCTATCGCCGTAGAAGATGATCTGGTCGGGAAGATAGTCGATTCGGTACTCGTGAAAGTCCGAGGTGGGATCGAAGGGCAGAGTAGGCATCTGGTAGTCCTTTCCGATCACACTGAATCCTTGGGACGCGGATTGTGGAGATTGGTGGACGAGGTTGATCATGAAGGTGTTGTTGTTTTTGTTGAACTGATTCGAGAGTATCTCCATATCAATTTCTTGCGAGTCGTTGAAATACTAGCAAAAATTTAGCACGAGATCCATCTCTCAGCAGGCGGGAAGCAGGGCATATATTTTGTCTAGGGAAACACTGACCCAAAAGAACGCCGAACAGGTGCCGGAAACCGATGGGAGCTTCAGTAAGGCTCTATAGCTGCCCCAGAGCATGTCCTCACGTACCGAGTTCAGCTGGGCAGATTGTGTAAATCCATCTGTAGTTACACTAGCTTGAACGGCCATCTGTAGGCCTGGATCGCCACCGTCCTCTCCTGGGCCGGAGTAGTTGTAATTGTCGGAAATACGATTGACAGTTACATCATCCAGAAGAAATCGCATGCTTGAACTTGTTAGTATGCTAATATTTAGAAGAGAGCGCAGATTTTATAGCATATAGTGATCGGGGGTATTCAAAGAGCGTGTCGGGGAGCTTGGCTATCGAGGGGTTGTTCATACATACCCCAAAGGGCCTCGAGCAGCTTGAGCGGTCACGCTGTAGTTCTGTACGTCCCAGTCGGTGTCCCTAGCGATGCTGTCAAGATGGAAGAAATCGGTCTCCAGTAAGTCTGTCCAGACGAATGGAATCGCATCGGTGTCGATATGGCTGAGGGGGGCGACCGCAGAGGGAGTATGAGCCCTCGCATTGATCAGGGAGCCGTAGCCACACTCGCAGAGACTTGCGACGCGGGCGATCAGGAGGGCGAAGAAAAGAAGTAGAGGGAGGGAGGCCGGCTTTCTCATCGTGGATCCGGGGTTGTCGTAGGTGATGTGATGTGATGTAGACTGTAGACTGTAGACTGTAGACTGTAGGTAGAGGCGTTGGTGAATCGCGGTGGCAGTGTCTTTATCAAAAATTACCAAGAGCTGCTTCTGCTTCGCGCTGGATTAGGAAAGCGCAAATGAGTATTGTGTGGCCTGGCAATTGCGGAAGGAAACAAGGGAGTTTTGCGCCCTAGAAGGTAGGTAGCTTGGGAAAGGCGGATGTTGGTAAGGATAGAACCTGCTTAAAGTCTGGAGGAGAGCGAGAGAAAGTGATCTCTCCAAGTTTGTGGGATTGTAGGAGGTGAATCCACGCTTTGGCACTCGTCTTCGATGGACCGATTACATCCTGTGGAGCGATAATACGATAATAGGGCTTGAAGACTGGGTCATTGAGCCAGCCGTCGGTGGCTAGCCGACGGAGAGATTCTGGAATTGAACGAAACGACTTGGTTCGTTGCCGAGAGAGCCTACAGACGCAATTGAATTTTGTAATTGTCGTTGGAGGGGGCCAGGGAAGAGCTTATCCTCTTCGATTCTCTTGTTGACATCGTTGCCAGCTGATATTAGAGAAGGAAGCTCGGAGGGATCCAGGACTGTGGTGTAACATTGTTGTAGCCTCGTCGAGCGAGATGCAAGGCTGTTGAGTAGCCCCAGGTTCCTGTTTCTGGTCCTGTTCCTGTTCCTGTTCCTGTTCCTGCCCCTACTATCAGAATGGAAGCATTGTAGTCGACATGGCTTGCTGAGGACATGGCGGCGAGCCGAAGAGTAGAATAGAGCTACGAAGGAGAGATGAATATGCAAGTCTCTGACTCATTGATCTGATTAATAACACCGGTGATTGTTTTGTTTTTTGTTGTGTGTTACCTATGTATCTCCTCTGATCCAAAATCAAAGATCTCGACTGCCGGTACCTCAGCTACTCTTTGACGGATGCTAGCCCAGAGGACGAGCTGGTCCAAGCCCACGTTTGGCAAAGCTTCATCTTGTTTACTTTGGGCCCCCGTCAGTTGGGTCAGTTGAGTACCGGGATACCCCACTATGCATCGTGCATTTATTAAGAAAGAAAGAAAGATAAAATGTAAATATAAATATATATCCAGGTGCATACCCATAGCTGCAATCATTCCATCCCGAGCAGAAGACGAAAAGCAAGACGGGAGAGTAAGGATGATAGTAGTAGGTTCTTCGTCGACCCGGACGGCCCCGGCCCGACCGAAAAAAAAAAAAAAAAAAAAAAAAAAACAAAGCCCAGAAAACCTCGGCGAAATGACATCGCGAACGACACGCGTCTCCCACTTTCCCATCCTTCCTGCTCCACGTCTTGTTCAACTCATTTTAGTATCGACTTTCACATATTATGTGGATTTTCTTTTCTTCAAAGCACCTCCCTGTACCTTTCCAATCCGATCGACGCTCGCCCTTTTACTTCGGCCTCTCTTCTCTTCCTGGTCTTTGAGATAATCTTCAACTCCGACACCCCAGCGCCATGGCAGAGTATGGAAAGACAGGATTCCCAGACTTCTCAGAGTCCTCTCCAGCTGCTGCTCCATGCATATCGCCGCCACCAGGCCATGTCAACTTCGACGTCGAGTCCGGGCAGCCTCGCCCTCCCACAGATAACGATGGATATGGAAGTGGAAATGGACGTGGACCCCTCCGCAAGAGCTCCTCTACACAGTCGGATCCTGAAATTAGCCTCAATCACCCGCCGTCGATGTCGCGCAGACGCAATCGAACCAACACTGCGAAATCCGCCATCGACTTTATGCCCCTCCGACCACAGTGGCAAGCCGGCCAAGAGCCAGGACTCGATCCTTCGAAGCCGAATGGCGGCAGGGCACAATTACCAACGTTCCACGAAGATTGCCAGATCACAGTGGTAGACATTAGCGAAGACGAAATATACCATTTTGAATTCAACAACGCCCAGCTCATCCAGTTTCTACACGAAAAGCAGGAGCCTTGGGTCAAGTGTAGATGGATCAACGTGAATGGCCTGAGCTGGGACGTAATACAAGCTTTGGGGCAGTACAAAAAGCTGCATCGATTGGCCATGGAGGATCTGATAAACACGAGCAACAGGACGAAGGCAGACTGGTTAGTCGCTCTTCTGCCCAACCAGAACACTTTACTAATTCGTTCTGCAGGTACTCTGACCACACCTACATGGTTCTCACTCTCCAAAAGCTCATACACATGCACCGCGATGCGGAAGACAGCGACTCTGACGATGGCGACACGGATAGCATTAGGAGACCCAAGCGGGGCCGTTTGTCCAAGTTCGCGCACAATTTGCTTTCTGGATCAAATCCTAAAAAGAAATACAACGAGAAGAATATGGTAGCAGGCGTGCACAATCCAGCCAATAGCTTCGTTACTGGTCATACAGAGAGTGTTAGTGAGCCACATCTCCAGAATTTGAAGACACTGCAAAGATACCACGGGGGCCCCAACAAAGAACGTATGGAGTTCATGGAAAAGCACTCCCCTTTGACATCTCGAAAGCTCGCTGTGAGCGCAGAACAGGTATCGATATTCTTGACTAATGGTGGGTTTGAAATTTTATTCTAATCAACTTGAGCGTTAACTAAACTTGGCAGATAACACGGTCATATCATTCTTCGAGTCTTCTGCTGATGACATCGAATCGCCTATTCTGGAGCGACTAAGGACACCAGATACGATCTTGAGGCGCAGCTGTGATGCATCAATGATTGTACAGGCAATACTCGACGCTATCATTGATCTTGCGATCCCGATAGCTACAGCTTACCAAGACGTCATTGGCGACTTAGAACTAGACGTCTTGACTAAGCCAGAGCTCAAGCATACCACATCATTGTATGTCGTAACAAGCGAGATTTTCACGTTTCGGAGCCTTGTGAACCCGATCGTAAACTTGATAAATGCGTTGCGCGACCACAAAAGCGTGACACTGCCAGTCCCTAACGCTGGTCCCCGGGCGCTATCATCGAGTACTACGACTTCAGTCAAAATGAGCCCAATGGCCCAGACATATCTAGGAGATGTGGAAGATCACATCATTCTCATCACAGAGTCGCTCGATCAAATGCGACGGTCTTGCGATAACATGATCGACCTTATATTCAACACCATGTCTGCTCTCCAGAACGAGACACTGCAACAGCTCACAAACATCACAATTCTCTTCCTCCCAATGACGTTCTTGACTGGCTACTTTGGAATGAACATCGAGCCTTTCCCAGCCCTTGAGCATGGCACCAGCTATTTCTGGAAGATTGCGGTCCCGGTCGCCATTGTCACCTCCATGTTTCTAATGCGAAGCAGCTTAATGCGGTGGGGTTCGAAGGTTATCCAACGACGAGGCATCACGAGACGGAGGAAAGGGCGGTTAGAGAGGGAGACTGAGGCTCACAGAGCCGCTGAAGCGAAGAGACGATCATGATTGGATGCTTTTTCCCCCACAGCCGCCGTGAGCAAGTACATACGACAGCTGTTGTACCGCCCGGAAGAATATGGAGGCGACTATGCTGGTGCACAGGACAGCTCTAGAGATTTGAGATTTGCTAATGATACCCAATGAATTTTTTTGCGCTCTCTACCTGGTGCCCCTTACTGGTGACAGGCTGTCTTGGTGGAGCATTACTTTACAATCGCCTTTGTCGTCGGCAGCCCCTGAGCGGTTCGTAAGGTAGGTAAAAAGCTCTCGGTAAGCTGTGTACGGAGTAAAAGGTCTACATCAGCACCGGTTCGAAGATCTTTTCAAGAGAGATAGTCATTATATCATTGAAATCGGCCGCCGATAATTGGCTTTTTATCGTTTGACTAATATAATGCGTCAAAATATCAGCGGCTGCATAGCCGCTCCCCCACCTTTAGGTGGGATAAGAGATCGTGTACTTAATCTCATCATCTCACCGACTCACCGACTCCTGCTTTCATTCACACTGAGCAACTCTTTCCACTACCTACCGACCATCACCGACCATCAAGATCAAGATGCCCCTCATCGTCCACGGATCCCCATACTCCACATGCGCGCAGCGCGTGTTCACCGCGCTTGCGGAGAAGGGCGTCGAGTACGAGCTGCGCGCCATCAACTTCGCTGCCCAGGAGCACAAGCAGCCTGCTTTCCTGAAGATGCAGCCGTTCGGCAAGGTCCCGGTGTTGGAGGACGACGGATACCTGGTGTATGAGAGCCGGGCCATCTGCAAGTACATTGCCAAGAAGTATGCCGGACAGGGCACCGAGCTGATGCCCGCCGACGGAGATGTGAAGGCCTACGGGCTGTTTGAGCAGGTGAGTGTTGCCGCGCACAGAGGCAGTCTGTGGGAAGGAAGGGTTGCGGGAGTTGTGTGCTGCTGCTGATGTCGTGCCTGCCCTGGATGTACTAGGCGTGCTCAGTCGAGATAAGCTACTTTGACGGTCCTGCTTCGGGTCTTGCTTTTGAGAAGGCGTTCAAAGGGTGAGAGAGAGAGAGAGAGAGAGAGAGAGAGAGATAATCCCCTTTCTCAATCCTTCGAATGGAGATTCCAAAGAGTTGAACAGTACTGACAGCTACAAGGATGCTGGGACTCGGCGAGCCAGATGCGGAGCTTGTCAAGAAGCACGCTGCCGACCTCGATGCGGCGTTGGCCGTCTATGACGGCATCCTGGCTAAGACGGCCTATCTCGCGGGCGACAGCGTGACCTTGGCTGATTTGTACCACCTCCCGTACGGAAAGATGGCCAAGGGCGTCGGGTTTGCAGATCTCTTTGCAAAGTACCCCAATGTCACCAGATGGTTCGACGCCTTGGAGGCGAGGGAGAGCTGGAAGAAGGTCACTGGGGCCTGAGTATCTGGCTGCTGAATTGAACTGAAGCCTAGGTGAAAAAGGAAGAGAAAGTGATTGCGGCATAGATACTATAGGACAGAAGATACTAGAGGATAGGGCTTGTGACAAAAGATTCTCTCAAAGCAATAACAGTATACTGCGGTTCGTTACGCATGGCGGTTATTCTTTTCTTCCCCAGGGCCTATCTGTATTTCAGAGTCGGGGAACGGCAGTTCTGGGTGGACCTGTGAGTCGCTTCTGTAAGCTGGGTTGCTTGCCTGCATGGTGAGCAGGATCTTGAAGGCTCTGCTATGATGGGCGTGGTCCGAGACTCTACAGTTGTTCAGTTGAAGAAGACAAACTGGGAATTAAATAGCTGAAATGTTCCCGTCTAGCTTTTCACAGGTAAAAAGATGCCAGCTTCGACCTTTCAGCACATGGTTGGGTATAATTCGGTACAGACACACCTTGAAGAAACAGAACGCCGAACTCCATGCAATGTATTCCTGTGCCACCCACATCCTCATCTTGTCGTAGCATTTTCCCATCCATGACGAGATATACCAGAGTCCAGCCTCTACTGCTCTAATCCTTACAGCTTCTGCCCTCCTTTTAGAACGATGGCGAAATTGTTCCTCGCGCCTCCTGGCCGCAGCTCTTCCTTCTTGAATGGAATAGTACGCACCGGCTTCACCGAGTTCATTCTCCACAGATAATAGACGAGCTTATTCGAAAGCTTCTTTTTGACCTGGACATATCCCAGACTCTTCATAATAGTCTCGAGCTTCGCTTCGTCCAAGTACCTGGAATTAACAACACATGGAGCCGGAAGGACCAGGAACAAGCTGGGAAAGATTTCCTCTAATCCTTCGGAAGGTGTTACGGCTCTCAAAAACCGCAGCGTCCTGAGTAACATCTCCCCTCTCCCAGTTGGATCCGGAACGTAGTTGAGAACCAAGGATAGGCTGATGACATCGAATCGGTCTTGATCCTCGAGCGGGATCGGTCGTTCCATGAAATCCTGCTGCTTGATACCCTCAGCCTGGCTGTTCAAGTCGATCCTTTCCACTTCGAACAGCTTTGACCTCGAGCATGCATTCCCGACGCTCAAAGCCCCAACTTCCAACAAGCGAGCCGGCTGTCCTTTCGCAGCCTGGTCCTTCAATAGTGCAGCGACTGGCTTTTCGAGCCATTCCATCAATATCTTGGAGGAGTCCCCGCCTCTCTCGTTGGTCTGTCCTGTAAGACTTGCTTTTTGATAGCTCTGAATGCCTCCTCGACTTTCGATTTGCTTTGCAATCACTGCGGCTTTCGCATCATCGCCATCGGCGAGAGCTTTTGCCTTTTGCTTCTCGAGGGTGTGATGAGTCCTGATGAGAGTCCGGGTTGCTTTGCTAGAAATCGACCGGAGAGGCTTCACGGTGGGCGGTCTACCTTGAGATAGAGACTTTAGTTTGGTCGCCTTCTTTTTGGCCATTTTTATTGAATTCCGGAGAGGTTGCGATCTCAAATAGCCGAACAGCGGCTGGCAAAGCTCTCGGGAGTTATGCGATTTGATCACGTGCATCGGAGCTAAATAAACGAGGAGCCGATACGCTAAGATGCCGCCCACAACAAAATTCCAATCGCGAATTTCCCAACCTTTCCGACCTTAACGACATATCGCCAAATCGACAACTATCTTCAAAATGGCCCCCAAGGACACAAAGAAAGGTAGGGCTTCCTTTCTCAAACATTGATTTATCTCGCCAGCCTGGTTGCACACTTCTGCAACCTCACGTCAGACTATTCACGCCTCGAATGCGAGCTTCGGCCAAAAGACGCGACGATGAATTTGGAGGAGGATGCGCACCAGCAGCAGCAGATATTGCGAGTTCGTCAAGAGCGATTGCTGATGCGTAAGTGATATACAGGTGCCGCCGTCAAGGGCAAGGGCAACAAGCAAGCCAGCGCTGCTTCCAAGGCTGCCTTGAAGGGTGTAAGTTACTGAGATCCCATCCTCGACAACCTGCTACTGTCAAATCCAAATGCAAATTGCTAATGAACAACAAAAGGTCCACTCCCACAAGGTCCGCAAGGTCCGTCTCTCGACCACCTTCCATCGCCCCAAGACCCTCCAACTCTCGCGCGCTCCCAAATACCCCCGCAAGTCGGTCCCCCATGAGCCCCGTCTCGATGAGCACAAGGTTATCATCCACCCGCTCAACACCGAGAGCGCCATGAAGAAGATTGAGGAGAACAACACCCTTGTCTTCATCGTCGACATCCGCTCCAACAAGAGACAAATCAAGGAGGCTTTGAAGAAGCTCTACGATATCGATACCGTCAAGATTAACACTCTCATCCGGTAAGCTTCGCTCCTGCGCCCAAACGCCCACTGCTTTGACTAATGAATATACCAGACCTGATGGATCCAAGAAGGCCTTCGCTCGCCTGACCGCCGATGTCGATGCCCTCGACATTGCCGCCACCAAGCTCGCCATTGTTTAAACATGGAGTTATGTGTGGATTTGGGATGGACAGCGTGTGATGGGGTTACGATATGGTTATGGAATATACCCGCGGGACTCGTAGCTACCGTCTTAACGGTCGCCACTTGCATTCAAATGGCGTAGAAGAGTGACAGCCCAAACGGAATTTGCACAAAAAGTGCCTTGAACGCCCATCGTTCACCCCTACTACGAATTGTTTCTTCATGCTTGAGATTGTGACTCCCTATTATATTTCTCATCCTCAGCATCCCGTAGAATTCATGTTTTCTGGATTTGACCTGGTCGCATCGCCGAGGCCATATTCATACACTGCTTTCATTGCTGCAAGGCCTCCCTCTCTCCATCCTAGGCCGCCCACCAACCACCATCCACAATCACATATCGCCGAATCGCTTCTCCCCTGATGCAAGCTTTATTCCCGTGCTTCCCACCATGTCGGCATCCACTCCCCTCCTCTTAGCGCCGGGCGTTCATGCCGTTCAACCGCTTGATAATAGCGAAATTCGCATCCAGATACCGATCGACGCAGTTCTTCGCACAGCTCTCCTCGTTCTTGTCCAGCGCGCCGCTCTTGATCGTGCCAGTCACGCACTTCTTCCAGCAGAGATCCGTGAGGGTGTGGACGGCTAATCACGAAACCAGAACTCGTCAGCAAAAGACTCTCTCTCTCTCTCTCTGTGTCTTCCAATTCCAAATGCCCCAATTTTTCAATCTCCGAATCCCCATTCGCATTCCCATTCCAGGACCCCAGGTATTCTGAGATCCTTCCACAACCGGAGGAGGCACAGCTAGCTAGCTCCTCTGGCCCTGCAGAGGCGGCGACCATGAGCCGGAGAGAGAGAATTCAAGTCTTGCGTTGGTTGGGGGAGGGGTTGGGGGGTTGGGGGAAAAACGCAAGAACAGGAGGCAGCGGGATATCGAAACGCACTCTGCTGGATCTGCGCCCTCTGGCTCTCGTGATTGAGGAACTGCTGCAGCTCCTGCTTGTCCTTGGCCGTGAGCTTCGAGAGGTCGGGCAGCTGCTGGCCTTCGAGGGAGGGGGTAGGGGAGGAGGAGGTGTCCATCTCTTCGGTCTCTTCTGCCCTGGCTTTTTTGGGTTTGGTTTTGTACTTGTTTTTGTGTTCTCCTCCTTTTCTTTCTCTTGCGTTTAATTCGAAGTCTGGCGCGGCGGTGTGTTGGGCTTCGGAATTCAGGGAGGGATGTCGGGGGAGAGTCAGTTGTGTGGGTAGGAAGTCGTGTTTCCTTTTTTTTGTTTTTTTTTTTGGTTTGTATGAGCTTCGAACTTTCTGCATGGCTGCTGCTGCTGCTGCTGCTGCTGCTGCTGAGGTGAGGTGGTCCGTGCGCGGCAGCCATCCGGGGTCTGCAGGAACGACTGCTCTGGTTCCGTATGTGCTTGTTTATCCGATGGTTGACAATTTTGTCGTTTTAAACGACTCTGACTCTTAGAATAATCAGATACCTCGACCTTTGCTTTTTCTTCTTAAGCTGTGCTGTGTCTCATGAATAATCGTGATCGAATCCGGGAAACATTCGGGAGAGTCTGAAGCCGTACCATTGTACTTGCTGCTCAGGTTTTGTGTTTTGGATACAAATGGGGAGGTGAGTCCACTTTCAGTGTAACATTGTTCGCTGGGGGCCGGCGCTGATCTTGAAGTATAGCTTGAGGACATTGTACTACTATATTCCTGCAGTTTCAAACATGCATGGCTGAGGTAGTCTAACGGGACATGTTCCCGTACTCCTGTCTCTCTCTCTCCCTCTTCGTGTATCGTCGTAATCTTTCCGCAACAGTCACCACAATCGGTCTTCTAGGGCCTCTTTATCCACAGCCCAAGAATAACCCCCAACGTCCTGTCCTCTGTCTTCACCGTCCCAAATCTCCCTCATTTTTAAAGTCTAATCCATTTACTTCATCAGACTCAGCCGCGAGCAAGACTTTGTCAGCAGTCTCACATAGCTCGCAAGAAGCCTACATACACACTATCAACACCCATCCACCCACCCATCCTAGGTCAAGATATCTGTTCTCCAATCTCGAGTTAGGAATGAAACCATGTATCAGTAGAACATGCGTTAGGCGTGAAGATGGTACAGTCCAGTCGGTGTGGCAGGAATAAAACCAGTGTCTGTCTGGGCTGACGGCCCCAAAAAAAACGTGTTGAAAGGAGGCAATTTCGACGAAATCAAATCATGGCCGAACAAACGTATCGAGATGGAGGTGAGGAAAACCCCACAGAACAGGCGCTGATGAATCCCCTGGATTAAAACGCACGCCTGCTCCCCCTCCCTCCGCCCCTCCGCTCGATCGGTGGCTGCGCTCTCCTCCATTTCGTATAGCCGTCGCCCGGCTTCGACGGCGCATGCACTCTCTCATCGCTTTGTACTTCCATTTCCACTTCCACTTCCCCTCTTCGTAGCCATCTCACCTCACCCTTTGAATCCAGCCTACGATAATATATACCTGACCCAGTTACATCCCGCAGGGATTCGCACACGACTCATGCAAGAGTTTGTAGGGGGTGAGTGATCAGACACTGTAAGCGTTTTGGGGGGTCGACTCCACGGTAGCTTCGTCAATCTTGGGGGTTATGGACGTGGAGAATACCGAAGCGGATACTTGGGCATAACGTGGTTTTTTTCTTCTTCGAGATATTCGATCCGATACTGTAGAAGGGAGACGGGCAAGGGGAGCGTATGGACACGTACCGTTCCTAGAGGATAGAATAAGACAGAACAGTTCTGAGGCCGAGTTTTGACCTAACACTGTAGAAGCGGAACACTCGAAAAGTGAAGGCGTAGAGGAAGTGCGATCTGCGTGAAAACACGGCCACGGTTCTGAGAGCGATATTGGTTCGATTTTGGAGCTCGCTCCCTATCTCTGAGGCGTCATCCTCGAACACAAAGCTACAGACCCAGGGCTCGGTTTAGAGACACGGACAGGATTCCTCATCAAGGCACCACAAAAAAGAAGGCAGCAGCAATGAGGGGAAAGCGATAGAAGTTAGCAGAAGAAGAACGGAATATCAAGATTCATAGGCATGTGTAAAAGAAAGAGGAAATCGTTCATATGAGGAGGTTCTCGCTTGTTTAACTCCACGTAAAAAACTTCAAATCCTGAGACGCCATTTTGTTTGTGCAAGGTCATTTTTCATTCTTCATGATAACGCCATGCGAGCCACGCAGCTAGAGAGCCAAACAGAAAGACCCAATTCCCCTGATATCAACCCTCTAGTTCATCTGGCGGACCAAAGCGTTCTGAAGAAAGTTAGCATGCCGGCTAGGAGAGGGACTGGAAACTTACGATCTTCTCTTCACGGTTTCCGAGATCTCCACCCTCGACGTAGTGTCTGAACTTGCGGGTACGGAATCCACCAGTTGGGTTGGAGAGCTTGAATGGCCATAGGAAGTTGGCGGCTTGCTTGAAGTTGGGGCCGACGGTGAAGATTTCGTGAATCAAGTCCTCCATACAGACGATGCCGTACTTGCCGAGGTTCTCCTCGATGATCGAGTTATCAGTGAGAGCAATACGTTGCTTGTTGACCTTTCCATATCCACGCTTGTAAATGAGCTCGCGGACAGTCTTCAGGTTGGGGTAGCCGTAAGCGATCCATGGCTCGACGACCTTCAGCATCTCGAGGGTGGCCTTGGTCATGCGGACAAAGACACCATTATTGATCTGGAGAAGACGGAGGAGTTGGAGGATCTTGCGGGGCTTGGGTGCAATCTTGTTGATACTGAAGCAGGTTTAGCAGATGTACGATGCGATCATTGAGCGAGTTGCTTACCCCTTGATACGGACAACGAAGACCAACTTGTCTTCAGCAGGAATGTAGAAGTTGCCCTCTTGCTTGGCCAAACGTTGAAGACGGATCTTCTCACGCTCTTGGTCACGGTACTCCTTGACGTACTTCTCAGCGCGCTTGAAGATGACGCCACGCTTCTCCTTGGCGGCCTGTGAAGAGGCAATTAGCGATGCGCCTGATAACATCTCGACATACACAGGATGCCATTGCAGGACGAAGTTCAGACCCGAAAGATGGTTAATTGGCGACAGCATCAACACTTTCGTGTCTAGTCGCGAAAATAGTGTTATGCATCATAAAAGTCCTGCAATGCCAACCTGTGTATGTCTGTAGAGTATCAACTGACCTTCTTCTTCTTCTCGAGCTCGGCGGTGCGCTCTTCGCGGGCCTTCTCTTGGGACTTGCGCTTCTTCAGCAGAGTCTCGGGGACGAGAATCTGGTCAAGGGTAGGGGCGGTTCTAATCCAGGAAGGTCAGTCTTGTGTCTACACACAAAAGTATGGAGTAGAGCGCCGAATGGGAATTGCAGCTGAAGCGCGGCATTCTCGCAGAAGGCTAACTCGAAGGTATGATTTTAATCGGTGAGAGGCTCGACGGCGACACCATTTCCTCAGCCCATTAGGGAAGCAGGATGGCTGTGCCCATCGAGTCGTAATCTCATCCGACAAGGCCCCGGACACAGTCCAGGAGGAGTGCACGGCACATAAGCCAATGCTTTTCGTAACTTTTGCGCGAGGCAGAGGAACTACTTAATTGTGTGCGGCAATGGTTTTAAAGGAGAAGAGAATCTTCAACCTCAAGACCCTGTACTACATCTCTCGTTGTGCAAGCGGTTGATGCCTGTACCAACGAGGGAGCAGCGCAGGAAGAATCGAGCTGGGAGCATGTATCGGTCACTCTGGAGCTGACGGTCGATGCAATTGCGCTCCAGCGAGAAGACACGGGATAGACTGAATCCAGTGCATTCGATGTTCTATTCGAGGGGACGGGCGACATACGACTTGGAGGAAGGCATCGTGGCGGTTGTCGATGGTTGTCGATGGTCGTCGTGAAGGATTGCTGATGAGAGAGAAAAGTTCGCTGAAAAGTTTCCAAATCAAAAGGTTGTGGACGCTAGATATTTGCCAAGACGCTACTATCTAGCGCTGGGAATTATCACGTGATGTTGGTATGGCCTCAGGTTTGGCTGGAAAAAATCGCGTGTAGTTGATTATCGCGAGATGGCGACGATCTATGCCATCGGATCAAATGGCTCAGGCCAACTCGGTATCGGTCACAAAGAAGATGTCTCAGTCCCAAAACAAGTCCTGTTCGACCCTGACACACAAATAAACGGAGTCACTCAAATCAAAGCCGGAGGAAACCACACCCTTCTCCTAGCATCAGGCATTCTTTATTGCTCTGGAGACCACACGAGTGGCGCATGTGGTCTACTTCCCAGCCACAAAGTCCTGGAGTCCCATTTTCACCTGGTGCGCTCCAATGCCGACGAGACCATTAGCCGAGTCGCTTTCTGTGCTGCGTCTTGGGAGTCCTCTATTATTGTACAGCGAGATCAAAATGGCCAAGCTACTCAAGTCTACACTTTTGGTACTGGGCACAAGGGCGAGCTTGGCCTGGAAGAGCCAATTTTTCGCTCCTCAAAAGCTCAACTGGTCAACAACTTTCCACCAGAAGGTCTTGAGATAGTGGACCTCGCTGCCTCTGTAAGTCACATTGTGGCTGTGCTAAGCAATGGGGAAGTTTATGGGTGGGGGAATGGTCGCAAAGGGCAGTTGGGTCAACCAGAAGAGGTCATCTATGAACCGCGAAAGATCACTGGAGTGGACTTCAAGGTTGTTCGAGCCGTATGCGGGCGAGAATTCACATACCTCGTTGGAGAATCCCAGCTTGGACAGCACGTTGTTTTGGGATCTGAAAAATGGGACGTGCGATCAACAGCACCGCAATCAGTGGCAGGCTGGAAGGATGCTGGTGCAACCTGGGGCAGCATCTTCGTTTTGCTGAAAGACGGCAAGCTACTCTCATGGGGCAGAGACGATCACGGACAGTTAGCTCCGCCCGGTCTCCCACCCCTTTCCCAGATCGCAATCGGAAGTGAACATGCTTTGGGACTTACTACGGACGGGAAAGTCCTGGCATGGGGTTGGGGTGAGCATGGGAATTGCGGACCAAGTACCACGGATGGCGATGTGAAGGGCAAGTGGAATACTATTGCTTCCTCGCAGTATTTGCCACCAGGTAGCAAAATATCTAGCATCGGAGCTGGATGCGCTACTAGCTGGGTTTGCGTCAGCACATGAGCTTTTTCATCTTCTTGGTCCTTCTCTGGAGCAAGCCATTCCCTTGCGGCTCCTCTCAATTTGATCTCGGTAAGCAATATTGTTATGTGAGGTTTAGCAATGACTTCAGCGACGATTCGGTGGGCAAGTCGGGCACGTCCAGTTACCATCAATCATCGAATAATCCATGAACCTGCGTTCTTTAGCCACGCCTTCCTTGGGGAGGGGAAGCTTACCTCTGATAGTCTTTGGGTTGGTGCCAGTCGCTGAGTTGGCACCAAATCGGAATCTCCATTTCCTCCTCGCCCTTGATTCTCGAGGCCCTGCTGCCTCGCCGAATTTATCCGCAAGGAATTCTGGGCTGTCAGCACAAGAAGCCTCCAAAAGCATGCAATACATACCTTTTCTTCACCCGTATCCCACTGCAACATCTCGTCATCTTCTTCATCGAAGGGCGTCGGATCCCATCTCTTATCATCATCGCCCTGGGGCAGAAAAAGAGACTGTGATTGAACACTGGGCTGCGGTGGTGGAGGAGATGGTCTAAGAGCTCTACTGGCTGCTCGGGCAATACTTGGAGCTGTACTGGTTAGCGGGGGAGGCATTTGGGGGGTTGCGGTCCGCTTGGAGCTCGAGGTAGCTTCCAAAGGCTGCCTTGATGCTGGTCTCTTTGAATTGGTCCTTGAGACGTTGGGCGCTGGTGTTGCTGAGGCGGCCCTAGATTCTCCAATGGTCATGAGGATAAATTCGCTCAATATTCCATCCTCGCTGTAGGAAATCTGCATTGGATTCGTAGGACGTGAGTACAAGGCTTTGACCATCGTATTTGTGATACCCGCGTGCGCAACTATAGCTTTGAAGTCTTTGACACTGATGACGATGTGGAGCTTCTCCTCGACGGAAAATTCGCCAAACTCAAGGGTGTCTATAGCAATGGTAGTATGCAGTGGCTGCTTCAGGATCTCTGGATTAGTGTCAGATATGGCCCATTTATGATAAGGCTAGATAATCGAACCGTTTCCTGACATAATCTTCTCGGTGTAGCTGGTGAAGCTTACACGACCGTTTTCGGAATAGATGTCTAGTTGATCTGTACCTGGACTGAAGTGCTCAACAAATTCCCGGAGGGCCCTGGAAGAGATTGACCAATGGTTGTTCGCACTCTCCTTCACAAAAAGAGCGTGCATCGGGGCAACCGGTTCGAAAGTCAGACGGTAAGTCTTGAGGACGCCTATGCCAGTTCAGCGCTGTGATCAGAGGATGGGAAAGAGTGGTATACCATGCCTGCACACGATTTTGATCACAAACCGACTCTTTGCCTGGCCCTCGCCATCTTCGACAGCAACATCGCACTTTTCAACTGCCGTATCCTTCTCTCTTGTCGGATCGATTGTTCGACCCTTGAAGACTGACAGTAAAGCCTATCGTGATCAGCCCGGACTAACAGGAAATTAAGCGTAAATATGCACCTTGTTGTATATCCTGCAAATGAACTTATCCTTAACGTTAACTTGTGGGCTGGTCTTTACCGGTTTAAGGTGGTATTTGGAGAAGAACTTGTTGCCCAGGGTGAACGAGGCATAGGCGGATTTGGATGAGTTGAGAGCCGTCAAGACGAGCTGCATCAAGCATTAGCTGATAATCATTACACCACTACGCGTATATCTGGCTCCCACGAACCTTGTCGTGAGATGCCTCTAATGACACGGCCTCGGAGAACTTGGAGAGGCACGCCAAAGCACTGTGCAGCTTGTCCAGAGATTCGGGGTTGAGCGTGAAGTTCAGGATCGCCATATTGCCAGCTGTTCTCCACGGAACACTTTGCTTTGGGATACTTTATAAATCACCGTACAGAGTAAAATCAACCACATAGGTTAAGTATGGGTAGGTAAGTAGCAGTAATAGTAGCCGAGATCTTCATTTGCACCATGATACCGGTACCACTCGACCGTCCGGCCCGCGAGTGCCCGATGCGCGCTTGGCGGTCCACTAGTACTAGCGCTCGGCGACGCGTTCGCTCTCGAATGAATTACTTGGAAATGGAAATTCGTACCCCACAATCATTAACATCAACACCAACTTCAATATCGACTCCAATATCAATTTCAACTTTCGCTTAAGAGAAGAAAATCTTCATTCCCCGTGTTTTTCACCCGCTGCCACCACCACTGCCATGATCCAGCTACCAGCAGATGTGCTGTACCTGGTCTGCGAAGAGCTGTCCAAGTTGGCCGACTTCAACACGCTATTCCATTGTGCCTTGGCAAGCAAGGCCCTGGGCAAGCCAGCGCTCCTTTGGATGTACAGGTGTGTACTCTCTCATCTCGTGTCCTGTGTCACTTTGGCATTTGGTTGAGTTCGTTTTCTACAGAATTCACAATCAATCGACCATCATCAGCAGCGAAGGCAATGATGCCGACCTCACTCGAAATGCAACCTTTGAGGGTCGGTTAGACGCGCAGAAGATCACCCTTTTCAAGTGGATGTTGCTCTGGAAGTCTATTATCAGGTCGAGTCTTGGCTCTAAAACTACAGCCTACCCTTACTGTCTCTATATCCGATCTCTTGACCTGAGAAACTTGGCCGAGCTTCTCGAGGAGCTTCCTTTCCGGAGCGCCCAAGACGAATTCTTTTCAGATGACATGAAACAGTTCTTGAGACAAGTACCAATGACGCTTAAGATGAGAGGTTCCAAGGGATCTAACAAGCGTCTTGATATTCCCATGATCCTAGAACTCGTGGGAGAATCGATTACCAGCTATGTTAGCCACTCTGCGAGTATGAATCATGCCACGGTTGCTCTTGAGGATATTTCAGGCATCATTGGTACAATGGCCCTCGCAGCCTGGACTGCCCGCCTCTCGAAGTTGAAGAGCATGACTCTGTGGGATGGAGCTGTTTTGGATCAAAGTGTCGCCGAGGCCATCTCTGCGAATTGTTTCGATTTCGATGACTTGACCTTCTTTACGTGTCTGAAAGGCGATGTCGACCAGTAAGCTGAACACCACTATATCCTGGTCCCTTTAACGCTACATCCAGTAAATCCTAATACACCCGAGCAGTAATATAGCATCCTTTTTCAGTGGTCTGCGGTCAAACACTCTGAAATCATTCACTGCTCTAATCGCACATGCCTTGGGACCAGGTATGTAGTGGGCAGGCCCTCTATTCGTTTGACACTCTACCTTACTGTCCCGGAGCCTATGGCAAGAGCCACCCATCTTATTTGGGCGATTTCTGATCTCCGTCTTAGAAACTCTCCTGTCATTGAACAACCATTCCCAATCGCTGAAGAGGCTGAAGCTGGACGGGTTAAGATCGGCCACTGTCAAGAATCTGTCACTCCTCCAAGGGTGTGTTGCACTTGAGGCTATAGAACTTACTGATGCCGACGGGACGGTTGACTTAGAGGTCCCAGAAAACGATATCTTTCTGGAGGTCATCGCGTGGTTAAGCAATTGCAATGGACTCCAAGAGCTGCTGCTGAGTAGGTTCGTTAGTGGACCCAAGATCCTTACCCAAGTCTGCCTGAAAAACAACATCCGGCTCAAGAAACTAAAAGTTGTCGACTACCCTTTGGCTGGCAACCAGGACTTCCATCGAGCATTATCGCACCAAACCTCCCTCGAGTCCCTGGAATTAAGAGCGGACCCCGAGACTGCGTTCCGAGACGATATCGACGTTCTGGTCTCCTCGGTCTCTGCTTTAAAATCTCTCAAATACTTAGATCTCCTGAGCACTTCCGACTACTTCTCGACTACCGAGATTCTGACCCTCGCCGAGCATCTTCCGCTTCTGGAAGAGATCTTCTTCAGCGGATACGATGTCACAGATGCCCTTGTAAGTGTAGCTCTCCTTTGCTTCAATCTTTCACGACTCGCTGCGAAAAATTCAAGTAAACAATGCTGATCAACTCCCCTCAAGTGGCCGGGTGTATCGCGTCTCCCCAACCTTCGCAGTCTCAACATCCACGCCGTCACCTCATTCTCCTTCAACGCCATTCTGGACTACGTCTCAACACTCCAAGACACTAACCGAGGCCTGCTTTTGTCGATCATGAACCAGAAGCCCGAAAACGCCATGAGCGAGCGCCATGAACGAGCGATCCGGCAGGCGATCAAAAATGAAGTGGACGGGAAGTTCGAGTTTACGCTTTTCAGGGAACCTGATAGCGAGTCTGACATGCTATCTGACTGATTTGTTGCATGTCAACAGGAGTGGCGTTGTTATTGTATATTAACGTCTAGTGGCTACAGCGTAGCAGGCTTATCATCCTAGTACATTTTAAAGGGTACGGAGACGTGAAAGCGAAAGGTTTATATGTAGTTTATTAGACCGATTTTCTAAGCTCCAAACCGTAATAATCATCCTCTAGACCGACTTAATAATATCCTCTCTCAATACCTTCGAATGCATTTCAAAAAACATATCATCGGAACGAGCGTCGATAACGATTAAGTGCTCCCTCACTTTACGGACAAGATACGCAGTACAAAGAAGGAAATGTGCCCGACCAAAATCCGAACTCCGATATTTCCCTTGAATACCTAACTTTCGCATCTCATCCGACCCGATTAAGGTTAAGCAAAATCTAGGTACAGTAGTAGTCCCTGCTCGATCAAGTATCGATTAAGCTTCGACGCACATACGGAGCACGAATTCCGGAAAACCCTTGATAATAAAATACGGTAGTAGTACCGGTACCTACCTACCTACCCTCTCGACAAGCTCTTCTGACCTCTCTCTCGGTTCTTTCTTTGTTTCTTTCTTTCTTTCTTTCTTTCTTTCTTTCTTTCTTTCTTTCTTTCTTTCTTTCTTTCTTTCTTTCTTCGAAGGCTCTATCGTCGCGGAAATCAGGAAGCGGGATTCTTTTTTTAATTTTCTTTTATTATTATTATTATTTTGGGTGGGAGAGGAAAAAAGACTCGGCTTTCTTTTGGTTTACGTCCGCAGATCTAATGCAAAGAGAGCCAGCCCTCTTTCTCAAAGTGTCCTGTCCTAGGTACCGGGAGGGGGGGTTTCTTTCCTCCCCACCCCCCCCCTCCTCATCCGCAGTACCGGCTGTTTAGATATATATATATATATATATATATATATAAGAATAGTCATCGGAAAGCAGACCTATCGGTGAAGAAAGGGGGCGATGCGTGGAAAGTGGATTGCCGTGGGTTATGATTGTTGAATGAAGTACCGGTAGCTACTGTAGAGGTGTTGAAGAGAGGCAGGAGGCGGCGCGGTTTCGTGCCTCCCCGAAACATTCGAGAGTACCGTATAGGTACTACGTATGTCCGAAGATATACTACGTAGGTGGTCGAGGTACGAAAACTTTCTTTCGAAGGCTGTTCTACATTGTTGGCAAGATTGATAGGCGTTAACAAGCATATACCGCGTGAAAGCGAAAGTTTCGATTTTGCAGGCCTACAGGAGTGGTGTCTATGCTTCGTATGATTTGTAGGATAGAGTTTTGAGTTGATGGTTCCACATGTCACAACAAACTACGGACAAAATCCAAGTCACTACGTATATCGGCCAAATTATTTCATTATCCAATCTAAGCTTTGATATCAAAGCTAGTGCCACAGCCACAACTACTAGTCGCGAGCGGGTTATCCACAATCTTGAACTGGCTCCCGATCAACTCCATCGTGTAATCAATCTTGCTCCCCTTCAGCAGCTCTAAACTCGGCCCATCCATCACCACCTTCGCGTCCGAGCCGTCGTCTGCCGCAAACACGGTATCGTCTTCATATAGCGTTCCCTTCTTCCCTTCTTCGGGCAGTGGCGGCGAGGACGGTGCGAGCGAGGGCATGGCGTTTGGGTCGCTGGACGAGGTGTTGAGCGCCGGGGAGGCCTCGGATTCTAGTTGCGGCGTAGCACTGGTGGTGTTCGTGGGAGAAGAAGGGAGAGCGGGGAGCGTGGTGAGCGACATGAGATATTGGAAGCCATGGCACCCGCCGCTCTCGACCTGGATCCGGAGGGCGAGGTGTGGGTTGGCGTCTTTGGCCATTATTTCTCGCAGGCGCTGCAGACGAGACATTATGCATTAGCGAGATGCCGAGGGTACATAGCCATTGGCGGCAGGAATAGAAAACGTACGTTCGAGGCCCGAGGCGTGATCTCAACGTCCATGGGCGCTCCATCGTCGTCGTTGCGCGGGTTGTAGATGGCCCTTGTTGCTTGCTGTCTCGAGGAGCTGGTAAATGACCTTTTGGCGTCGATCTGGCGCCTCGCAGATGTGTAATCGGCTGTTCGGTTACTTTGCAGAGCTGGGAATGGGATGCTGGGAGCGAGGAAGTCCAGGACTGGAGGGGCGTTGTAGAAGGAGCGTAGAGGGGCGAGTTGGAGAAACGCTCGCGCGGCGGAGGATGGCGCAGAGTTTGCTAGCTGGGAACAGCTTCTTGCGACGCTTCGTGATGCCATTGTATCGAGTTAAAGGAAACAGATAGATATGGAAGGCTGAGTGGTTGCTAAGGCGGGTGCGCATGGAGGTGGAAGACTTTCTGATATCCAAAGTCGGGCAGCATCGGCAATAACCATGACATCCCTGTTCGTTCCGATCACACGTGATGATACTAAACTCTTACAAAGCAATCAGGCAAACAGATACCTATTGCTTACAAACGAAATAACCCTAAAGTCATTGCTTTCTTTCGAACAGACGGACAAACGAATAATCCTAGGATAAGCCTCGCAAAGGATTGGCAATTGTGAACATTTGGCTGGGGATATCGGGTCCATCTCGGGGCGCGAAAGAGCGAGTGAGTGTAATCCTGAATGCGAAAACAACACGGGCAACATCAGGCATCATATCTTACTACTATGTGGGAATACGGCGCATTTCTGATTATAAATGCATATTAAGCTAGCAGGACCTCAAAGTTCTGGCTTTCATCATTCTTTTTTCATCATTTCATCAGCTGTGCATTCATGTAAAATCATTAGCTGTTGTTCCGCAAATCTATAACTCCATTTCAACCACTGCAAATCATCTTCAACTTGAAATGTGAATTGTACCGCCAGTGCCCACCTATCAGAATGGTCAGTATCAAAGATATTCGGAAGTCCAACGAGACTTTCAAGGCCTCGAGCCAAGCTTCTGGTCTCGTTGCCGTCTTCGTAGCAGCAACATCAGGCAACTGTGCATGGATTCTCTCGAGCAGTTCGCGAAGAACACGAAAAACCCAACAGTCTAGATCGTGGGCTGATCAGAAAAGGGAGCGAAGCCCCTTCTCGCTGAGACTAGGGCATCGAGCCCCGGAGGAACTTTCAAGTTCATCGAAACGGAAATCTCTCTGATCAAGAACGTCGACAAAGCTTGCGACGAGATCGAATCCAAGGAGACGAAGGTTGACCTTGTATTCGTGTTGCCTGGCTACTTGTATCTTTGGAGGGGAGAGATAGTATGTTCCGGCGTTTCCTCCTACTAATAGAGATGGCTGACCAGCAATGCAGAAAGCGTAGAAGGAATCGACATCCCCCACGCCCTTCGCTACGACTCCAGAATTCGATTCATCTCTAACCTTCTTGCCCTTCTCAAACAAAGTCCTCTTCCTCGTGTGATGTCGGTCCCAGCCGGTGGTAGAGAAAGCGCCATCGACACCACCGATCTTGAAGTGAAGAACGACTTCACATTTGTCCAGGCGGCCGAAACCGGGACCACGCAAACCACTCTCGCCTTCGAGGAACTCGCCAGATCGAACCCGACGATCACGTTCATCCACAAGTACCCGGGCTTGGTCAACTCAGGCGTCATCGGTCGACTCTGAGCCACAGCGTCAGGCACCTACGCCATACCGGCACTGGTAGAACGGTGGACCATCCTACCCACTGTCAGTCTTTTCTCAACGACTGTTGATGAGGCTAGAGAGGGAGTTTTGTTTTCAGGCCTGTTCTGGCTGGCTATCTTCCGGATGGGGTCGACAAGCTTGCGTGGAAGGAGACCCAAGCTGTCTGGGAGAGGGCTGTAGCGAGATCAGCTTGAACCAAGTTGATTGGAATGGAGAAGACACGCCCCGTGCTGTGCAGCAAGACATGTCTGCTCTTTCTCAGTATCAACTTGGCTCAGTGATTATTCAGTCTGTTCTTCTTCATCTTGACGGGAACCGAAACCCCATTCTCTGCCCCTGGGGTGCTGCTCGCTTCCCTAGCGAGCTAGTTATGCATCTCCGTTGCGGTGGGCGGGCGGTGGCAAAAGGAGGGGAAGAGGGCTACCGGTATCGCAAGCAATTTGGGAAGGACCACGCATCACGTGTGACAATCTAGAAGCATCCCGTATTTTTTGTCTGGATCGCTCGTGGTCCGCGCTAAGGTATAATGTAGGTAGTCGTAGCTTAGCAGCTTCGCTGTGATTTGGTACCGGTACATGGGTGTTCACTCCCTTGCTTTTCTTTTCTTTTCTTTTCTTCTTCTTTTCTTCTTCTTTCTCTGTTCGTATCAAACCATCCGGACGTGCTCTTCCCATCGCTGGATAAATTTGATTTTTGACGGATTCGCGATGGGAAAAACACCTGGCTATTGTCAGGCTATTTTTCATTGCGTGCTAATCTTTCCTCCGGATCCACGCAGCAGCTTGCATGGAACGAGCGCTTACTCGGATGCGCAACAGATACGATATCTTAGAAGAAAAAGAAAGGCAGAAATGAGAAGGCGGAGCGTGATCTAGTCTGAGCAACCCATGGTTAGAGCGCATAAGTATTTTCATAAATCATGATCTCCATGATCTTGCGGGGCTCACAACCGAGATGGAATCGTTCTTCTACCGCGTGTCATCTACGCGCAAAGCTGCTATTCAGAGCAGTTGCCAGGACATAGACCGTCCTCAGCATTGGCGTCTTGATTTCATGCTCTTTGGCAAGTCTGACGACACTGCCTACGATAGCCTCAACCTCCATGTTCCTCCCAGCCAGTGCATCTGCCATCATGCTTGGCTCGACGCCCGGTAGATCGCGAACAGTCGCCCTTGCCAGTTGGAAATCAACCAACGCAGCATCGATTTTGGAATAGCCACATGCATTCGCAACAGACGCGATCTCGAGCATCACTTCCCGGATGACGTCCTTTGCGTCGACGGACGACTGCAAGATCTCGGCGTCCCGGGAGCGCGAAAGGGCACACATGGGGTTCCACGAGGCGTTGACCAAGAGCTTAGACCAGCGCTCGAACTGGACGTCTTCGTGGACCTCCGCAGTTGCGCCAGCCGCCTTGAGGAGGTCTGCAAGTTTCTGGGCGGATTCGGTGCCTGACGACGCGGGATAGGCGCCAATGTGCAGCAACTCGACTTCCTTGTGTTGCACAATTCCCGGGCTGATCTGCGTGACCGGCAGGTATACCACTGTGCTTAGCAGTGGGTTGTCCGGGAAGAGTTTGGCGTACGGTTCCTCGATCGCGATTCCGTTTTGTATCAACACAATTGTCGTTCTCGACGAGACAGCAGGCTTGATGAGCTCGGCGGTTGACGGGATGGTCGGCAGTGCTTTCGAGCAGACGATGACATAGTCGAAAGGATTATCGGCATTGAGAGCCGCAGCATCATCAACGGAGCGGACAACAACCGGCTTTACAGTCTGGTTTTCTCCCCATAACGTCGAGTGGATCGTAAAGCCATTCTGTGACGCCGATTGGAAATTTGAGCGGCAGACTGTGACGATGTTTGTTGCTGGGACTGCCCGGGAGAGAAGGAAAGCATATGTTGCACCAATGCTCCCCGTGCCGAATATCAAGATTCTTGGAGCCATGGTCATCTGCTGTTTGTTACCTTAAGCACGAGATCTCATCGTCGGCGGGACTGACGACTAAGGATGGGAGCTCTGGTGGACCACACGTGACTGAATCTGGCCTTGTTCGCGCATCTGATGCGTCTTCACCGAAACCTTCTTCTATCCCACGTCTCTAGCAACACTTCGGCGGTGTCATGCTTCTCCTGGGCTCTACAACCATCACTCCTTTCAATTCAAAATTCCCGTCGACGGACGCTCGCTCGGTATCTCCTAGCACCTCTATCATGAGAATGTTGTATTCGGAAATCACGCTGCACTGTTCGTGCTATACGGCTGGAGCCCAACAGAGCTTGACCAGATGTGGCGGAAACTGCTCACGTAGAAGCAGGGCGCACGGAACGGGTCGATTTATCCTGGAATACCTGCTCGAGATCTCGTGCCCCGGACGAACTGATATCTCGCTTCTTCTTCGACGTAGCTAGCGTGTTTGGAGAGATTTTTCTTGGGGGGGCTATTTCCACCACTTTGTATCTGCCCAACATCATCTTTACACAGGTACTTTATGTGCTCAGCTCTTTCTGGAGATGCTTTTCGGCTATCCTCAAGCTCCTGTTCGCGATCACTGCGACCGCTTGCTTTCGTCAATTTTACAAATCGCGTAAGACGAAATCCATCTGTCGCGTGGGCCTTGCGATTTTCTGTCCCTACAGTGCTCATCAAAGTAATTTGTGTTGATGGATTGCTATGTACCAAGCGATCCTTTATACTCGATCTTAGGCTTTCTAGCGAGCTGCGGCTTACGCAGCCTAATCTGACGTTCTCGGCTTCTTGGTGCCTTGTGCATTCGGGACCGACCATTTCGACAGGAGATAGCACATCTTCCGTCGGGCAAAGAGCCAAAAAAAAAAAATATGAAGATTAGAAAACACGGCTGTCGATGGCACTTTCCACATGTGGAACACGGGATCACAGCTCTGCGGAAGTCCTTTTATTTATATATCTTACTTTGGGGTCTGTGGCTCCTTGCTTGGTAAGTTCAATGAGGAAGGAACGCCGGAGCCGATCGCTGCCAGTTTCCCCAGCGTCCTACAGCCTCAATTTATGAAAAGGAGAAATCGGACTCGTCCCAAATGGATATATGTCCCATGTCTGAAGCGTTCGTTGGAAAGTCCTCGCAGGTTAATTTCGATGCGCGTACGATATATATAGCATTCCGTCGTGCTGTGTCCGGAAGAGGCTGTGCTCCCAAAGCTTTCAGATATGTCAATACCCTAATATCATCCGACGAGGAGGCAGATGGTCGTAGTGCATGGTACGCTAGGAGAAGGAGGGCTCTCAGGGCGTAGTTTGCGTCATTACCAGCATAGTGGAGGCACTCGTTAGAGCACCCCAGAAACACCAGCCGCCTCTCAAGCCCGAAACCCCTACCCAACATATCCATGGCACAGAGAAGCCGCCTCGAGAATGGCAACCATAGTGCTGATGTCTTCGAACACCGAAGAACAAGGAGCTCGGATCGCAGACCAGGACCAGCAAGGACAGTATCGCGGATCTTGGGCTGCGGACAGCACGCAGCGTCGTCGGGAATGCGCAGGAGGCTCCAAAGAAGCTCGTTTGCCTCGTCCTGCCCAAGGACCGATTCCGCGGCCCCGAAATGAAACATCTGTCTTTGCGCCGTCGAGGCCTCTTGTGCCCGCCTACCACGAAGTGTCGAGTGGCCAAGGAAGACTCGGGCGCTTCTTTTGAGAGGGAGCGGGTATTCAACGTCGAGACACCTGTGTCCGTCACTTCGCTCCACTTCTCATCCACCGTATCTCTTCTTGGCTCGACGTCGAAGGAAACAATTACAACGTCCCGTCTCGGGTGCTACTGGTCGAGACCAAGGGTCGATCGCCGCAGATCCAGTCCCTGTTTAGGGCGTGGAAATGTGATCCTGGAGGACATACTGATTGATTGGCTTATAGAAAAGGAAATGACATCGAAAAAAAGTATTAGCAAGCAAGAAGAGATCGATGGCAGTGTCGGCTAAACGTAAATGCGCGTTCGGTGGATTTCCAGAGCTGAAATTACAAGGCGCTGCAGTATCTATCTGAATGTGGGAGTTCTCAGTCCAAAGAAGCTCGAGAAAATGT